AAAAATTTTTATAACTAAATAATAAAATTAATAATCTCATCTGACGCAACTTACCTTAGCAACATCTTCCTGGCTTTCCATGCTAAAGTGAGCCGTACCAACAACATAAACTTTTCCTCCATCTGGAGTTGTTAGCAATGACACCGTGTGTGGAAGATGCATATCGATGGTTGGATCAAAGGCAATTAACGAAGCAGGAGCTTTGGGCAATTCATTTAGCTTCTCTTCGGGACTTGTATCCTCAACTTCAGAATCAACACTAGACCCAAAACTTTCTTCTGAAAGGAAACAGATACGTATACCAAGAACTGAATGGAACTACCAATTCATTTCTTACAGGTAAATATTCTTGTGCAAAAAACAATTTAAAGCCTTCATCGCGGCTAAATGACAGGATGTCTTCTTGAACGATTGACTGCGTCAGTGTCGAACAAGTGTTCAACATTTTGGAGACTGTTTCTCCCTTATCACAAACTGAACACGAGACGGCTCTTAGAAGCCAGTGTTTTTGTAGGTATGAGTAAATCTGGTATCTATTATGGTCATAATCAGTGTGGTTAAAACCTACAAGTGATCTAGATACTGCTGCCGTTTGTCGACAGTAATGGAAAAGAGAGTCCAGTGTCGCTCTTTATTGCATTATGTATCACATTAGCACAAATACAGCATATACCTAATCGATTATATTAATCAGAAAAGAGTGTTATTTCAAGAGAGGATTCATCATCAAGTATCAAAAGCCCACTACAAGAATTCTGACTGAAAATCTCTGAAATATAATTTTTGCTTCTCAATGTTTTAAGACCCAGGGATGCATTCATCATCATTTATCAACTCTTACGTTGCAACATAGGCAGAGAAGTTAACCGTTAGTTCCTGGGGAAAAAACTGATTAGTGCAGCTTATTAATTATAAAATAAATTTCAGGTTATAATTTTAATGTGGAAGCACTGATTGAGAAGTTGTTCTATGCCTTATAAACTATATATTAAACATTTTTAAGAGGACTACAGTGAAAGAACTGCTTAAATATTTCACCTTTTGTGTATTCGGAATATTCCGTACATTAACCTAATCTTCCCCTTATGGTATCATGAAGTTACTTACCTTCGTTATCTAGATTAACACAACAGCTATCAGGACTATCAGCACGCTTCCTTTTTGTGCTGTAATTGTTTTGCGGCATATCTGACCGTTCATTCACTATAAAATCTAGTGAAGAATCGCCAGCACTATGGGTCCCAGTCTTTTCAAGTAGGTTAAGATTCGTCTCTCCACCGCTCAAATGAGAATTCTCTAAAATAACTTGTTTCTTATTTAACCCAAGAATCGAATCATCTTTGCTAATAATTAATGCATCTGAATCCGTCAAAGAACTCTCGCAATTGGAAGTGCTTGACATTATCTGCAAAAACAAGACATATATGCTCATTTAATTTAAACTCCACCTTTTTGCAGCCCACTATTGCGTTCCTCAGACAACTGTGAATTTACTATTTGTTTTAATAATACCTGTTATATTTTCACAACAGTATTTCGGGAAGCACTGTACTACTGACACGTATAATAAACTTTTAAACGGATGTAGAATGTCGTTCTTACACTTTACCTTGCTATGTTGATTTGCTTCAGAAGACAGAAAATATCGAAACTCGAGGTATCGATAACTATCATCGCCCAAATGTAGAGAACTGGCGCATAATGTGCAAGCGATGTTTGAAGTTTTCAGCAATTAAAAGGTGCAAAAATGCCACGATTAGCTTCGCCCTTTCTGTCTGCATGTAACCACTCTAGAACGGGTTTCCATTATGTCGATAATGGGCAGTTTTACGAAAATGTATCAGGACATTCTGGCTTGATTAACATCGACCAACACTTAACAGGAACGTACAGATGTCTACATTATAAATGATTATATCATGTCAGTAATTGTTTTCCTCAGTTCTTTTAGGCAAATATTTGGTAAGAACCATTCAAAACAGGACAAAACTGTTTCCAATCATTTACGGTAATCTTCCATTCTTCATAACATACACTACCAACATTTTCTTCAAAAATACAGGAACTTTAGTTCTCAGTGTTGTAATGTAATCAGTAGGGGTCCAATCAATCTGTTCCATTTTCTCACAAGGACTCTCCAGTAATATTAAGGATCTGCAAAATAAATTATGGCTGGGCAGAATGGGGAAAGCAATAATTGTATACAGAACTTTTATGACAAAACCATTTGGAAAGTTTCTAATAGGTAGACCAAGGCACAACTAAATTCACAAAATTATATACAGAAACAAAATTAAAGACACTAAAAATAACATAAACCTTCCTACATGACACTGCATGTTAATTCATCATCTTTGTCATCCGCATTCGCCATGTGAAGAACATGCCTACTAGTTTTATAATTTAAACACAAGGAACTTCAGCATTACAACCTACTTCACCATCAGAATGAAAAGCGTTAAAGAACCACTTTCCCACAAAAATAATTAGAATTTTATATCTATAAACTACATCACATTCTTTCAAATGTCTGTGCTCATTCAACTCACTTTCAAAACACAACTACGTAAGTTAATAATAACAATAAATAATCAGTTCAGGACAAAGATGACCTTCACTGATATTCAAATGCTTATGACTGCCAGATACTGGAACATTCTGTAATGTCTAAACTTATTTCCTTGTAACCAAAGAAAGCTTGATTGCATCACAACGTGCATTTCAGTAAATAGGAAACAAAAATTAATTTATAATTAAAGTACATGATACATAACATTAATGCAGCAATCACTTGACACACTTATGGCTAAAGAAATCAAAAAACAAGAAAACAGCCCTAAATATGAACACATTTCAATCACATCCCTGTGACTGTAGTCGATAAAGTTAATAGTAACATATCTCTATATACTTGATTATGCCAGTAGTCTTTCTTGTGTACACAATACACAATGTGATATGTATTCAACAGCCAACACAAGCCAGGAGGGTTTTATGACTTCTATTTACATCAAAATTGAAAAGTTACATGAACATTACATTTACAACATCTGTAAGTTTATTCCACTTTGTTTACATTGTGAAATCATTCCATAATATAAATCATAACTTTAAAACCAACTGAAATAAACTTAAGAGTTGTAAAAAAAAAACATACATGAAAGTTTCCGCCATAGGTTCTAAGTCTAACCCAATTTATTTTTAAACTCTATTATCTATATATATTTAAAAATAAATGGTTACCTATTCATTCAAGTACACCTGTTTTATGGTTTAAATAATTCATACGATACTTCAGGTTTGCAAACTTTGGCACTGAGTCATTATTACTGCAGTATGTTTGTCCCTCTGACCATCAATGAATGAAATTTCTATAGAAATGAAAAGTATAATGCAACTTTTCATTTCTACTGGGAAAATTGAACAGGGGAATAAAAACCACTTAAATTATTCTATCTTCTCCTATACCTACAATGGCAAGTTCATCTTTGTATATTTATTAAATAGACTCAAATTTTCTACAAGATTTTTACCGACATTTTCTGAATTCCGTCAGGTTTCTTTCTGAACAATTACATCTTCATACCTGTAAATCCACTATATTTGTCCTTCAAACATTTACGAACTGATAAGCGATAAACCGACATGTTACCTCATTGTTGAAATGGCGCAATATGGACACTTATGTTCTATATAATCTACATGACATGTGACTTACATTAACAGTTCTAAATCAAGAAACTTAATGTTCCAAAACACAGATCTAATAAGAAATGTACGAGTACAGCAGAGGAATACAAATGGGATTATACAGACTGATACAATGTCACAAATTTAGCTGAGAAACTAGATTAAAATGTCCAAAGAACAGACAGCGATACATGTAAACGCAACACAAATAGCTATTTTCTCTCGATATTTTACGTAAAATACAAAACAGACAGCAAGATAAATAATAAATGTAACTTACTGGTCTGTGAATCGCTTTTGGAAGATTGCAAAGAAAGGAACATTGTGTTTAAGAAGCTATAAAATATTACTGCAACATAACCTAAAATATACATTAGTTCTGTATATACATATAATTGTGATGCAGTAAAAAACCAATGCAATTCAAAAGTAGCAATTATTAAAAATACTGCGTTCTATGAATTCCAGGCAATATTAAATCACTTCTGAAAAATAAAGGCCAACCTGAAAGAGTCAACTGGATGTGAAAGGCAGTGAAACAAAGAGAAAATTAAGAATCAAGTTTCACGAGGACTGAAGAATCGTCTTTCTGTAGGATGGTGAGGGAGCAAGGTTAGGAAGTAGGGTCTGCAGAGGAGACTGAAGACTAAAGAGAGGTTATATCACATGCTGAGACTAAAATGGAATTTAAAAAAATAATTGTCCAATTTAAATCACAACTGAGTAATGACTATAAGACTGAGAAAAAAAATAATTGTAAAGCCAGAAGCGGTTCTAAACCTATTTATAATTATAATTCAAAATAAATAATATTTTACTACAATTTTAATAAATCACACGATTATTTTACTTATGTACTCCCATCTCATGCAGAATATATATAACCATGTACCCCATTTATTTACCCAGAACTTCTGATTTACAAGTTTCATTAATTATATCCATCCAAAATCATTTGAAATAAAGTTCTTCTATTGAAACAAAACACTGACTCTTAATTAGCTCATGTTAACGGTGACTTGGGTTCAAAAATTGGCATGTATCTGGGTGTTCCTACGTTTTAATGCTTGCATGACTATGGCGAATTATTTTGTTTCAGTAATTTTAAAGTTATATTAATGACATTACAAATAAATTAAACAAAATTGTCTAAAATATTTAATAATTTTATGACACACTGCTAAGTTGATATTTGGCTATTCATAGTATCATCTGGTAACAGAGAAATGCACGGCCGACTAATGATAGTGTGCCACATATTCCTTCGCTGCTCCATGACTAATATGCGTTCAGTATCCACCACAACGATCTTCCTTACAGCACCCAGTTTCCAAGTGAAGCAAATTTTTTTTTTAAAAAAATGTATCTTAGACATTTCATGTTGTCTGTTAGTCTCGGACACGCAGACCCCAAATACTGGTCCTTCGTATGCCGACAGTAGGGCGAGCAACACTTGAAAATAGAAACTTGTTAACATCCACATCGGGAAGGTTCTCTTGCAGGTTTGCTACTGATTGCTCGCTCATCAAATTGAAAACATCCAAGTACATCAGTGAGTTAACAGATGATAATAGCCTGAAATAACAATACAAACATGGCTATTACCAGGAAGGCAGTAACACAATCCAACATCTTCTCTTAAAAGAATTTTGACAACTTTACAGGTAATCTTTTGGTGACATGACACAACTAAAAAAAAAGGCATAGCATAACAATTCCAGACAATTCACCACAATATTACCTTTGCGAATGGCGGGGAAATTCCCTGGCTGGCCATTTCTCATGAATGAAATCCCCAGTCACTTTGGAGTACAAAAATTCACGTAGGTCTTCACGTAAAGCGTCCGTTATCGTAGTCCAATTTTCACCAAAAAATATATTAAGAAATTTTAGTTATACTTCCCATTATCAAATTTTTAAAAAATCCCATCTTCCTGACTTTCGTGAGTACATCCCAAAGGATGAAGCAGTATTATTAGGCACCCAAGAGCAATAAAAATATGCCTAAAAATGATGGTAGAAAAACTTGTTATACGTTGTGCAAATCCTCAAGTTATAATCCATTTGAACTATATTTTGCATTCGTACAATCTACAGGCAATAACAAAGCATACATGCCAGTTATGCTACGCGCGCACCTGTTCCGATAGGTTGTGCCAGTAGAGTCTTAAAACAAATAAGTGTGCACTGTATTACATGTACTTACAAGTACGCAGCTGGAGCTATACTGTAACATCTACTGAGTGCAAGATACTCAATTTTATCTAAGTTGGTTATAATATTTATTGATTCTGCAGTTAGGGTTGTACAGTCGCTTAGATCCAACTCAACCAGGTCAGGACAAGAGGCGACTAACTGGCGAAGATCTGCAAATAAAGACATATAACAGCATTTTACAATTTCATCTTACATTCTCTGATACTGCAGTAGAAGATAAATCAGTAGTAATGGTGGGTTCAGTGGTACTTTTACAGCAATGGTTATTTGCTGCTTTAAAATTACCAGCATACTCCTGAAAAAACTACATTAAACTCGTAATAATGTATTTATTCAAGTACTAAATGGTCTTGAGCAAGTTGTCCATTTTTAAATAAAAAAAAAGGAACATTTATTCAAACAAAACCTTAAAAATTTACAAAGTAATGCATTTGTATGTGTTAATATTCATCCTTGGTACATGATATTTGAACTGTCGTCTTCCAGTATTAAAAAAAACATCGGAAGTAACAGAAATACAAGACAAATGAAAGCTATAAAATCAATTTTATGAACTGTACAACCGATAATCTTTAATTTAGGATCATCATCATGATTCTCCTGATGGAGGCAGCAAAGGCCTCTGAAACACGGTAAATTTCTACCAGACTACATGGCAGAACAACCCAGAAGACTGCCACACTCGCTGCCGTAAGAATCTGAAATCTCGTAATATTTAATCTAGTTCTTATCCATCCTGTAAATCGGGGCATGAATACAGGATATATCAAAGGAAAAATACTATATAAATATATAACAAAGCCTACAAATTTGCGTCATGTGAATACTGACGTGTAGAATTTGTTTTCGTTCGATGTAAAAAATTATGATTCAAGATAATAGGCGAGAACTTAAATTTAAATTTCACATTTCTTCTTGGCCTGCTTCCTGTTTAAAAGATATACATACGATTGTCAGTAAGAGTCTTGCGGCAGCCACTGATATTAATCCTCTGCATTGAACGAGGCAGTTTAGTACACAGAATATTTAAAGCAGCCACTGATAGGTCAGTCCAAGCTACATTAAGAGCTGACAATCTGAGAAAAGAGAATACACAAACATAAAAATTGGCAGGAACGATTTCAACATACATACATAGCACGTGCATTATTTCTTGAAATAAACCGAAACAGATGTCTGCTTTGTTAAACATGTCTGACATCAAAGATTACAAGAGGTTCCCATGGACAACCTAGAGCCCCCCGACCCCAGTGCTGATAAGATAAAAATCTCTGCTGCAGTGGAGAAAGGAACCCCATACCGCCTGTAAGTTAGTCACTGCACTGACTTAGCTATTTTGGATCATGAAATTAAAATTATTTTAATTAATTACAAAAAAATGTTAAAAAATATTACTCTAGAAATCTTCGTGATATAAGAATAAGCACGTGTGTTTCAAAAATCATTAAAACATTGTTTTGATCGAAACAACATTTAACCATACTTACTTCCTGCAGCCAGTAAGAATATTACTGACGCAAGCCTCTGTGATGCCATAACACGCAGACATGTTAAGAGTGTCCAAGTTATAATTTTGTCCAATCGCAGCACACGCTTTGTCATTAAGCCTGCAATGCTCCAAGCTTAGTTTCCGAAGATTCTTGCAGGTGCTCAACAAGTCGGCAAGACCTAACAATATTACATATCAACATTTAGTTATAAAATTCGAAACCGTAGAACAGAATTCAGGAATAAATAGATCTTAATGATGTCGTAAAATGGGCAGACAGGCAAAGTTGGAGGACGCATGCATGATATTCTATACGGAGAGTTTTTACTTAAATGTGAATGTCAATAATATTACATACATAAGATAAATATCTTATATGTTTTGTAGGTTATGTTAAACAAGTTTGTGTAGAGAAATTGCAACAGTGCAGATAGATAGATGCAAATTCTCTTGACAAATATAATCGTGATCTGGCTGGTGAACTGAGCCAAACATTTGTCAAACCCTGAAGACCATGTAATTACAGAAAAAGGGCCAGTAACTTCAAAACTGACGCAACTTTTTTATACCTTCTTCAGATATGATAGCCATACTTAGATCCAAATACTGGAGTTTACACGGAACATCCTTGATTAGTATTGAACAGTTACTGAAGAAAACAGGATCAGATATCTGCAACAAGAAAACAAAAATTGTCTTCCCACATAACAAAGATTCTCACTTGTTTCAGCGAACATTTCTGCAGACCTTCATGTTACAGAAATTCTCACGCAGTTCATGAAAGTCTCTTCGTATATAAAATATTATTATTGTAATTAATACTAGCATAATATAACCTGTAAAAGTGATGGGAATTATCCTTTCTTACGTCAACAAGTAACAATTTATTCCAGAATTCTTTGCAAATCACAATGGAAATACATTTATAAAATTCCATTATAAACTAAATTAAATACAAAAAAATTCTTCATGGTGACTGAAGCCAGTTTCCTACCAAACACAGCAACAGAAAATCAACTGCCTGACTCCAGACTCTTTCAAAACACAGACTCTACCAGATCTTTGCATTTCTTGCTACCAGAGTCACCACCATCAGAATTTAATTTAAATTTTTTCTGCGTCAAATGAACTTGCAATCAAGCTTCATGGGCATTGGCTATTACATCATATGCAAGGATGAGCTTTAGTATCAGTGGTGTTAAATCTTCAGATTCTACCGCCCCAGAGTTACCGTTTCACACTTCAAATAACACAGTTCTTAAGGAAAACATCTTACTTCAGCCTGAGCCAGTCGAAGGATAGTGGTTCCTCTTGTCAACACATGGCCAAGACTTCCAGAATTAAGAGTCCTAGATCCTAGGTCCATCCTAGTCCATAGCACTTCATCATAGGCAATTCTCTGCCAGCGTTTGCAGACTAGGGAACATCTTACCAGCATATTCTTTGGTAACCATCGAAATATCATAAGTACCATCTCATCCGACAGTTTTAAAAATACATCTAAAACAACAGAAGACATAACCGGGTATGATTAAATTATAAACTAATCTAATCTTCTCCAGAAGTAATCACTATTACAGACAAATCTTCAAGCTTACACGATGTCCTCTCAGTTGGTTCAAAACGATACATTAAATACATCACATTACCAAATAGTCATGTGCGTTACCTTCTCCTTTGGGTAGCACCGGTTGCTTACGTCGATAAAGAAAAAAATCTTCAGAAAGTTCATTGCTCTTTCTGTGGTCTACTGACTTGTCTTGTTGAACAGGTTGAGGACTTGATTCATTGTCATTTGATACCATTACAGATTCACAAATTGGAGATGACGTTTCAGACTCCTGTGTAAAAATAAGATTTAAATTATATCGGGAATAGAAATTGTTATCCAAACAGAAAACTGTCATTATCCCATCTAACACGCAAAACACCAAAGATCAGCACATACAAACGAGTAACTTTGCCACTTGATTTAGGTGTGAGTGAATTGTAACTATGACAGAAGAATGTCAGTTGTAGGTATTTAACAATAAAGTGCACAGCAAAATCTCTGAACCTATAAAGTATGAACTAAGCAACATAGGATATCATATAATAAACTGAGATCAAATTTCTGAGAGCAAATATTTATAACATTATAAAAAATTGTATTATTCCTTGCCCCACTGAAGAGCGATCACGATATAAACAAACAGAATATGACATCAGAACCTACAATAATTTAGTCAGGTTTAGGGGTAAAAATAATTAACAAAAAATGAACAGACTGAAGAAAAACAAGTTTCATGGTACACATATGAAAAATTAGCTGAACTAGCTAAAATACATAAACAATAAAAATTATTACAAAAATGAATAAAATTTTATATGAACCTCCAGTTTTTCAAGAGCCCAGAATTCCTTTATAATCTGCTCTAATACAGTAGTATAAATATTTTAGGAGTAAAAGCAAAAACTGAAAATTATATCAACCTGCTACAGGCAACAAAATGATGATCTCCAGACACATTAAAATGGCTTCACAGGACTTCCATGAACATATTCATATTAAAGCATTAGTTCCATTAATTCTAATTGCCATCTGTTGCGTTTCTAAAGGAACTCTTACAATAATATTCATACTGCAAGACATTCAGGCAAAGGGATAATACAAATATCCAGGGATGAACAACCTCTGTACACAATGGTACGTAACAAAACATATAACATTATCATTTGGGGTGAACAAACTCATTTTATCTAAATGACCTTTCTCCTCTGTTCCCAAACATTACAATGCAGTCAGAAGAATGGAGTTATATATGTGGCTCAAACCAAGACAAAGGTCAGTATTGATAAAATTCCCTGCCACTTAGCAAATGTTAAATTTCTCGTCTGTTCATCACCTAAAAATATCTCCATCCAAAAAAACATTGAAATACATAAAGATGGCTGTCTTCTGGGATGTTGAACCATGCAGTCTGGCACAATCTGACTCGTGTTTCAGAGATTACTGCCTCTAAAAGTTCTGTTAATTTTTACCACATTACAGGGCACAACAACCCTAAGACAGCCATCTTCATACTCGTCAGTGTGAGAAATTGAAATCTCAAACTGAAATTCATTAATTATTTTGGAAATTAAACATGGATGGAATGACCTGAAACTTCCCATTATCTGTTAATTTTATGCACTTCATGTAAACAGTATTTTAAATTCATAAAATGTTTCCATGCCATTATAAAAAAGACTCGATAGTTAAATTATAAATTGCACCGTCTTTGCTCATACACTTCTATAAGTACCTTTATTGTGATGAATTTAGGACACTTAATAGCAGTGTTCCACAGGAAGCAGATAAGTCCAATGTTTTAATTTCCTTTTATGATTTACTATAAAGAAAGAAACTGGCAAACAATTTGATGCTAGAATGAAGAACGTTCTCTTTAAAAATATCATACAATTGGTATACTTTCAGTTTTCGTAAGAATTCAAATTATGGAATTGGAAATGTGAGTGTCTGTTCCTAAAACAAACACAAAAAATGCCACAACATCTGAAGCAGTATAGGGGAATTGACTGAAGGTACTGGAATTCAACAATGTTTTATTTACATATAATACAGAACGTAAATTTGGAGTTTTATTTACACATGCACAAAATCAAAGTTATCACTGCATACATTATTATAGTTCTACTTTGATATTGTAGATATAATCTTTGATGATAATGAATTTGAAAGTAAAATTTCGGATCATTACGTTTCCGTTTTCAAACACATTATCATACAAAAGTATCTGCAAATAATACTCCTTACACGACTATCAAAATACTAACCTGTTCCACTGAATTCTTCAATACTTTCTGACCATCACAAGCTCCTTCATCTTCAAGCATGCTAACACCCATATCTTCCAAAATTTCAGGTTCGACGTCCGTTTCAACAACAGACCAGCGTTTATTACTGCCGTTAGTCAAAGATTCATTTAACTTTTCATCCTTTTCATCGCTGTCTGATATTTTCCTACGTTTGAGGCAAGGCTTGCTAAATAAAAAGCAAAGTAACGTAAATAGTGCTTATGGCGTTAAACTGTAATATTAATTTAAGCTATAGTACTCATTAAAGTATATTAAAATAAATTATTTTCGACACGTTGCAAAACTTTACATCTGTAAACTCGACATGGCTAAAGCTTGACCAGCACATGGTTCTTTTCATCATTATAGCTATAAAATTAAATATATATGAACTCCTTATAAAGTATATTGCTTTCGCTTAACAATTAATAACACTAACCATTCAACCGATAATAATTTATCACCATTTTCCTCAATCTTCGTCGTTTGTACCGGCTTCTTCTTCCCACCTTGTTTCATTTTTGGCGGAATCGTGTTACCTACCAGGGCTGCCAATACAATTCTCGTATAAATTATGAAATAAAATCCCTACTAAACAAACGAAAATCGGAACTCGAAGGAAATTATTTTAATTATTCAAAATATACAAAAATATTGTACAAATTACATGTTAACAGGAAATATTTCTCTCTTAAATTTAATAAAGCATTATTAAATATAAATTCACATTAGGTTAAATAAATAATGCTAACATCCAGATAGCATTGGGAACGGAACAATATTGAAGTAAAATGTCTGTTTATGATAGCATTAAACGAAACAAAATATGTAATTACAAGTTACAAATTCGGGAACTTCAATGGACTGTTCCTTACGACGGGGCTGAATACATTAAATAACATACAGTTTCAAGTATCTGCTATATCAGAAGTAAGAACTCACCACTAATTTTTACTAGTCTTCATTTAGTATAGCTTTCTGCTATGAAGCTGCTTTCTTTTCTACGAAAGTCTTGTAGAATCATGCTAGCTCCTTCTTCAGGGCTGGTATGATTCTATGTGTCTGTGAAACTACATGTATTTTTGATACAACTGAAATCATTTCAAATAATTTCAAGGTCTGCCAATTAATCACTTACCTTCAGTCAACAAGATGAATGTTCCTCTAAACATAACCACACTTATGGACATTCCCAAACATCAAAAGTACTTACGTTGATGGCCTGGGAAAATGCCAGTGCTGAATACAGAATCTGTCTGCATGCATGAGAAACTTTGGGATTGTAATTAATTACAATATTAATTTTTCATTCAGAAACTGTTAAAATTAAACATGTTTATGTTCATTCTATTAAACATTTATTGTGCAGATAATTACACTAGTGTTAGTTACAAGTGTCATGTTTACATTCTATGATCCATTTACAGCACCAATTTATTCACAAGACATGTCACAAAAATAATGTTCAATAAAGTTTTGTTCCAAGCAGAAAACATAGCATAATGCAATTTTAAGAACATATCTAATAAAAACAACAGCATTATGGAGAACACGAAGCCATTGTTAAGGTGATGGTGACCTCATCAATAAACGTAAGGTTCTTGTCCTCAAGAAGTGTGTCCTTACCACAGTAATTCCAGCTGAAAATAAAACACCAGCAAATGATCTGATCCAGTATGATCTATGTTTGTAGAATTTGACTACAAAATATATAGTTGACAACCAATTTTATTACAGGAATGACACATTTTAATAACATATCAATTTAGTAAATAATTTTTTATATGATCAGAGACAGGAACACACAAATTTTCATGAAAATTATAAATTGATAAAATAACTTCCAAAGTTGAATATTATGTATAATTTTCCACTTTTCTTATAACAATAGCCTAAAAATTTGAGAATGTCTCAGTCATTACCCAAAGTATGTAACAAACATACTGGCTGAGTGATTAGCAGGTCTTGGGTTCAAATCTTGGCCTGAAGACTGACTATCCTGAATGAAGACAAACTATGAAACTGACAGAATCATTAAATAAACAACAAATAAATAATAAATCCACAGACGTATTGAACATTTTCTATTAAATATGGAGGATCTCATGGTGGTAAAACATATGAATCATGGCGTTTTGGGTTGTGACACTATGTAGTGTGTGTGGATTTAGAGGAGCGTCAGCTTTTATGGCTATTTGTGCCCATACATATTTGAAGGCGGACAAGCATCGATGAAATCACAGAAACTTGAACTTGCGTGCATATAAGCACAAAGTAGGGCATTAACTACGATTAATGGTAATTAACCATCAGGAAACAACAGCAAGAATAACCATACAGAAGGCTGTATAAAGGCCTTGACAGTAGGCTTCAAAACAAAATGGCCTTATTACCAAAACTTAGCCGTGTTCGATTAAACTTAAAATTACCTGGCCCCAGAAAGGCCCGGCAGTATAAATATATCTAAAAACAAGTGACTTAAAAATTAAAACGCTTCTAAGGAGAACTGCAGATAAAGCTGTATAGAGGCCTTTGACGCCATGTGGTGTTATACATAGTTTCACAAGAATGTATCACTCCAATCTTCAGGGTCAAATGACCTTGGAACTGATAATTCCTCTGAAACATTGGTAACCATGTACATGATCATATGGCATTCCAGAATACCATGATCAACATATAACCATCTTAATTGTTTCAACTTCAATACAACTTCAACACGTGGTGCAGAAAACAATTCTGAAGAAAGCGTTTATACCTGTTTCCGTAAGCATCTTCAATCGATACTTTGTCCAGAAATATTTTTGGAGAGACGGGAGTTTCATTATCTTCCTCTGTATCCGGTGCTATCGTCGTTACAGCCTGGAAACTAAGAGACTGGTAACCGAGCGTAACCTGAAGAGTGGGAGTGATGCGAGGTCCAAGTGTCCCATACTCTGCGGCTGCCAAGCCCCACATCCTGCGGCCTCCTTGTACAACGTCCAAGAATCTGACAACATTTCTGGTTTTATACTTCCAATCAGAATTTATTCAAACTAAGAGGCTCTCAAATTAATTCTTATATGCAGAATCAAGAAAGACAATCATCAGTAACAATAAAATTCAATGACAAGGATCTAATTCATTAGCATAGGAAAAGGGACATGATTTACAATGTAATGCCTCTCCTACCTTAATGCCAACTTCCGCACAATTAATCCAGTTTTGACAAGAAAAAATGTAACTGAGGCATAACAATTATATTTGGTGTCAAAGAAATGCCAGTACTAAAATTTTAAGTAAAGTTAATGTTTAGTTTCTAAAATTTGTTTTGATTTGTTTAATGCGTTGACTATCACGAACGACTAATGCATTTGAGTTAACTTCGAATTTCTGTTACCTAATTGGTCATTAGAAGGAGGAAAGAAGACTGGCCACGTCAACTGATTGTATGGAAGAAGAAGAAGACGCAAAGCAGAAAAGACAAATTTTATATGCAAATTCGTGTATTCCGTTTCTGGAGGTAGAAGTCTGCTTCGCGATAAGTTCGGAAATCGCTGATTTTTATCCTGTCTGGAAATACTGGTGATAAAGAATAAGACAGTATAAGAAGAAGGTAATGTAATGTACTACCACTACTACAATTAATTCTAAAACTTGATCATTATCACTGATGGAGTTTTTTGCACATCTTCCAATTATCCTCTGTTATGGGATCCATTATCCTGTCTTTATGACATTAAAAATAATACAATACAAGAAAATAAATTAATAAGGACTTTTTTGATTAACTACACTAAATTGACAGTATTTAATGAATAAATGTCTGTACTCGCAGTGTATTCTGAAGTTGGTAGAACTGTTTCCATGAGTCAGCACCATGTGAAGAATCCCTCGAGTGTTGTGGGTCTTCTCTGATACCATCACGGACGCACGAAGTTGCTCGCCTAAGGAACAAAATGAAAAGTTGGCGATATTTATAATGGCTGCACAACGTCTGTGATTCCACCAACACTGGTTCTAGTTTTTTTCTCAGAAACGACTTACAAAATGTGCATAATATAAAATATTTAATTCGGCTTTCGCATAAATTCCTTAATTTCTCTAGTACAGAAACCAATTTAATTTGGTTAGTATATTTTAAGAAAGAATTATTTTATTAAATTTAATTAAAATTTCCTACCTATATCAGAAGATACTTTACATCTCTGTAACGTAAAGTATCTTTGACAGCAACCGCTCCTACTACAAGATCACCAACTTACGTCATGATGGCACGCACATCGTTTTATAAACAGGATTCTGACAAATTAGTCACGACTGTATAATTATTACATCTGGCAAAAAAAAGCACATTACTATATTTATTTAGTAGAATGAAATGAATGGATATGCATAGAATACAAAATATATTAATGGAAATAAAGACGAGTGTTAGAAGACCCTGGGTTAGACCACGTACATGACGAATGGACCAAGTTAAGAGATGTGAGAGGATAGAATGAGACTGGAAGACAGATGGAGGCAGTTGGAGACTCATTCGTAAATGTCGACACGCAAGCGTGGAAATAACATAGAGAAGATGAAGAAGTTAAATGTTTATCGTTCATCTACAGTGTCGTTCTCTTATGTACAAACAGGTACAAATAATTCTGATATCAGAAGTACCTTCATCCATAAAACATCTAATTGGTTCCAGCAAAAAACCCAATAGAAAGGATCTGTGTATATTTATTTATCTAATTACTGCATTTATCCAAACACAAGTAATCTCTTTCACTCGATGAAATACCAGTACATGATTTGTACCTTAGAGCAGTGTTTCGTGAACTGTAACGTCCATCTTCAACCCCAAATAAAGTGACAGTATGCTTTCGTCCAAAATGTTGGTATGTACGTACAGGTCTACATGGTGTCAAAACCCACAAGAAAATCAACATTGATACCTCATTCCTTTACTCAGACCTCCATTTGCAAACCATCAGTCAATCTGGTTACGTTTCTTAGTCAGAGCATGGTATTATAATTTGGTTTGAATAGTTCCAGATGATCTTACCACAAAAAGGGCTGGAGTCTCTCGTGACCAAGTACAAAGTCCCTCTCCCTCTTGCTTGCTCCGCATTTATACCCATCATTCCGCAAGACCGCGCAAAAGGGAAGATTTCGCCTGCGCATTTCTGCAACGAAGGATAGCAATTCCCGTGCTGAAAGCTCGGTAGCCCGGCACGACACGGATACGCCATAAACTGACAGCCGCCAGGATGCTGATTGAGGCTCTCCACAAACAGACGCCAAGCTCGTACATGACTGCAAGCTACGTCAATGTCAAGAGATCCATCTGTAAAAATCAAAAGAAAAGAAGCCTGATGTTGCCATTAAAAAAAGTGGTACATTATTTTAAAAAGTAATAAATGATACAGACCTGGTATCACCTATCTAATAAACTAATTCTCTGACAGGAGTAAGATTTCATGGTGGAAAGCATTAAGATGAATTCCGGGATGTGTCACGTAGTCCTACCGAAACTGACAGACATTTCAGAGGTGCTTACTGCCTCGACAGCCCCGATGCTGGCCTCTGTTATGTCGTTAAAATTGTATCAGACCACACAATGCATCTTGGTACTTTGTTTTAACTATTAAAAGTTTAATCTGCCTTGTCTTTGTTGTAATTAAATCTTTTGATTCTGCGCTATCTCACCAAAATGGCTGACCACAACAGATGCTCTTCCGTCACTGCATCCCGGCTGTTCTCGGCCACCGTTCGGAAAGAAATCAACATGACCAAGCGGTTGAAGCAGCCCAAATCCGTCCGTCCAGACTGGGCTTCCATCAGTATGAATTATGTCAACAAACTCTGCATCGTTTTTGTCAAGTTTGCGCTCAGATTCTACAAATAAATTGGATCTGAAGATAGGTGATGCTGGGTCCAAACCTTCGAAAAGAAAGACACTAATTAGGATAAAGATGGGGAGGGGGGGAACCCTGCTTTAGGGTCAAATGAAAAGTAAAATTATTTAAATTTATGTAAACACTTTATTACCGCTCGACTTCGCATATATGACGGTGGTTCTAATTTGACCTGGACAATTCTACTGTTTCTTGATTTTTTAATTGTCTGTGAACCCATTTTAAAAATTCTAAACTTTAGAGGTGTGACACGTGTACAAGGGAACATGAAAAACATTACGTTATGTTATTAAATGAATAATATTAAGTGTGACAGAAGAAAACAACTAATATTGTATACACTTCTATTAAAAACTACCACAAACAGGATGATCGAATTTAACATTAGCAAGCAGATTATTAACTACAATCATTAATTAAATTTATAACATTGTCCACAGTTCAAGAAGAAATAAATCTTGAAGTAAAGAATAAATACTTTTATTCAGAGAGAAAAATGAGACATGAATAAATACAAATTTTAACTTCTGAAACTCAGAATGGGTTTCAAACAACACAGTCACTGACAAGGAGATATCAAATTATAGAAATTATTATAAATTTAACATTTTTAACTCACCAGTTATCCTGCCCACCTTCACAGACAAGCGGGTCTGTACGACGTGCGACGCGCAAGCTGCTACGTGAGCTCCGAGGCTGAAGCCAACCATATGGACATCTGAGGGTCTCACCCCTAAGGCCAACATGTCAATAAGAAGCAGGCCCGTCTGCCTTCCCACGAGCTCCGTGTTTGCTACAGCCTGGGAGTACGAGGGCCCCGAAGCACCTCCTTCCCAGTCCACTGTTATTACATTTACGTCGCCCTGGGAACAAATAAAGTCTGTCGACTAAAGCTTTATTTGGCGGCGTCAATCCGACTCACTTGCGATTTTCATTAAACTGACAGGCATAAGGGATTACGTCTCTCTGATGAAAAATCATTAATTTTCAAACCTCATTAGCCATTATGTCCTCTTATTACAAATATAAATCTGTTGTTCGGAAGCTAATCAGATGGCACAGAGCCGAACGTGATTTCTCCTTGTATTCCGTTAAATAATTTAATATATATATATATATAATATAAAAATGTGTATGTTTTAACTCTTTTTGAGATAACTGACGTAGTTTTTATGCTACGAATGATGTTAATTACCAGTTTTAAGAATGAATCCACACCAAAAAGGGCCCCCCTGTCTTTACCACTGCCTTTATATCCATGAATGATTATTTTGACGGGATGTCGACGGTCAAAATTTGAGTCTGATATGGTCTGTTGTCCTTCACCACTGAAAATAATCTCAGCGTCATCGATGTTTAATGTTGCTGAATGGTTTATGATGGTGCCATTTCTGCGAGTAAAAAGCAGAAACGTCGTGCCCACGCTCTCGGGAGTCTCGGGGAACTTCTTAAGAGGCGAAATCTTCCTTGACACGGTGAAACAACCAACGTCATCTGAGAAAAGAGAATAATTTGAGTATAAAATAAATACAGCAGTCCACTACGTAATATCTTTTAATCTGTATAAAACACATCGAAAAAATTCAACACACTCAAAGTTGTTGACTCTAAAACGATTTTTTTCTTTGTAAAAAATTAATTAATTTTTGCAAATCCTGAATTTAAACTTATGCCATCTGTAAAATACTTTTCAACTATATGATATATGAGGCGCTCACGGCGAATATGTCGATATGGGTTTCTAGATTCCGCCCTGAAGATGAAGGCAGTACGTTCCTCCGAAACGTTGATATCTACCAAGAAGTACACACGACGTTACAACCCATAAGACCAAAATCGACATAATCCACCACAATATCTAAATTAGGTTTATTATACTCTCTCGTTCGATTCACCCTTCTAAGACAGTCTTATTTTTTTAAGCGCGCACTCAGGTCCAAGTCGGTCGCTACTGCCATCTAGTCGGGACAACCCGTAACACTTCGACTCGCTTGACGCATGCGTCGTCTAGTAAACTCCCGGCATGCAAACTGTTCAAGATATTACGAAAGAGGCTTAATGGGATATTTGCGTTAATAACAGTTAAACACGAAGGTGAACGTTAAACTTTCCTTTCACTTTCTACAGGAAACCAAAATGTTGTGTTTTAAATAGCTTTCACTTCTCCTGACATAACAAACAGGATGCAATACAGCAATCAAGAGAAAACTGGGAAAATGGACGCCAATCACCACACTAAAAAAAAGAGAGAGAGAGAGAGACGACAACGACGACGACGACATCAAAACACCCATGCCTCAAATGGGACTCGAACTCACGGTCCCGATGGTCGATTGGTACAAGATCAGCGTAGTAACGAGCTACGAGCTGTTACAGAAGCAAATTTTAAATAATATGTAATCCAACAATAGTTTGTGCATATTTCAATGTTTATATAAGCGTGTACTATGGTAATTTGTCATTTCTGAAAAAGTGTTTTAAAGATAACGAAAACTCGCTATCCTGCGTAATGAAAAAAAAATATTAAAAGGTACAAATACTTGAACTTATGGAATGTTGCGCTGTGTATGTTTTAACTCTTTTTGAGATAATTGACGTAGTTTTTATGCTACGAATGATGTTAATTACCAGTTTTAAGAATGAATCCACACCAAAAAGGGCCCCCCTGTCTTTACCACTGCCTTTATATCCATGAATGATTATTTTGACGGGATGTCGACGGTCAAAATTTGAGTCTGATATGGTCTGTTGTCCTTCACCACTGAAAATAATCTCAGCGTCATCGATGTTTAATGTTGCTGAATGGTTTATGATGGTGCCATTTCTGCGAGTAAAAAGCAGAAACGTCGTGCCCACGCTCTCGGGAGTCTCGGGGAACTTCTTAAGAGGCGAAATCTTCCTTGACACGGTGAAACAACCAACGTCATCTGAGAAAAGAGAATAATTTGAGTATAAAATAAATACAGCAGTCCACTACGTAATATCTTTTAATCTGTATAAAACACATCGAAAAAATTCAACACACTCAAAGTTGTTGACTCTAAAACGATTTTTTTCTTTGTAAAAAATTAATTAATTTTTGCAAATCCTGAATTTAAACTTATGCCATCTGTAAAATACTTTTCAACTATATGATATATGAGGCGCTCACGGCGAATATGTCGATATGGGTTTCTAGATTCCGCCCTGAAGATGAAGGCAGTACGTTCCTCCGAAACGTTGATATCTACCAAGAAGTACACACGACGTTACAACCCATAAGACCAAAATCGACATAATCCACCACAATATCTAAATTAGGTTTATTATACTCTCTCGTTCGATTCACCCTTCTAAGACAGTCTTATTTTTTTAAGCGCGCACTCAGGTCCAAGTCGGTCGCTACTGCCATCTAGTCGGGACAACCCGTAACACTTCGACTCGCTTGACGCATGCGTCGTCTAGTAAACTCCCGGCATGCAAACTGTTCAAGATATTACGAAAGAGGCTTAATGGGATATTTGCGTTAATAACAGTTAAACACGAAGGTGAACGTTAAACTTTCCTTTCACTTTCTACAGGAAACCAAAATGTTGTGTTTTAAATAGCTTTCACTTCTCCTGACATAACAAACAGGATGCAATACAGCAATCAAGAGAAAACTGGGAAAATGGACGCCAATCACCACACTAAAAAAAAGAGAGAGAGAGAGAGAGAGACGACAACGACGACGACGACATCAAAACACCCATGCCTCAAATGGGACTCGAACTCACGGTCCCGATGGTCGATTGGTACAAGATCAGCGTAGTAACGAGCTACGAGCTGTTACAGAAGCAAATTTTAAATAATATGTAATCCAACAATAGTTTGTGCATATTTCAATGTTTATATAAGCGTGTACTATGGTAATTTGTCATTTCTGAAAAAGTGTTTTAAAGATAACGAAAACTCGCTATCCTGCGTAATGAAAAAAAAATATTAAAAGGTACAAATACTTGAACTTATGGAATGTTGCGCTGTGTAGTCTGGTAAAAACTGACCGACGTTTCAGAGGTTCTCACTGAGTAAATCAGTAAGCACCTATGAAACGTCGGGAAACCAGACTACACGGGGGGGGGGGAATCCATACTCATTGTGGATGTGAGAACTGTTCAAAACATACTTTAAGACGTAACAAGGCCGTCGGTATTAGAAATTAATTGTTGATTACGAACCATAGCAAACTTCTTTTCTTGCCTGACGGGCTTGTTCCCTCTCGTGTCTTCTAGCATTGTATCTTTCAACCCTTCCTCGAATCCCGCCTCCTCTTCCACTCGAAGGCGTCAAAAGGGCTCCATCTGAAGATGTCATAACAACAGAAGAATAAGTTTGTCATCACTTTCACTCGCGTTTCGTGCGAACAATAAAATAAATGCATCACCTCCTGGGTCTGCAAGCACAGAGTCGTCCTCAGTTTTGAAAGACTTTAATGCGGTCAAAGTAAGAATTATAATGAACCATGAAACCCCGCTACTTATTAAATCTGCCATAACTCGGGACTGTAAAATAAATACTGTACGGTTCACGTTGTGTACGCACAATGCGCCATAGATTTTTTTTTTCTACACGCTAGGCCGCTTTCACTTTCTTCCAACTATATACTCCGAGGATTCTAATGACTGTTGTCCATGACATCTGTCGTAATTTTAAGGCACTTCTTATTCGTGCATTTTCCTAACAATGGAACGTGTCACGCATGTGACGTCACAGTCCATAAGTCGAGTTATATTTTCTTCCAACTATATACTCCGAGGATTCTAATGACTGTTGTCCATGACATCTGTCGTAATTTTAAGGCACTTCTTATTCGTGCATTTTCCTAACAATGGAACGTGTCACGGATGTGACGTCAGATTCCATAAGTCGAGTTACATTTTTCCTAAATTTGCAGTTCTCTTACAGAGAAAGTAATTAATAAAAAATGTAACACAGAGAAGAAAAGTTTCTACTTCATGAGGCAGGGTCCTTCAGTTCTATAATGTCCATGGAAAGAAACATTTAACAAAACTTATTGCAGAAATTCAGGGACAGACCTAAATTTAAATGATACCCCTGCAATATGCACGATTTAAAAGTGACGCCAAACTCTAAGACAAGCATTTAGAGAAACAACAACTAATTGTTGAAGCACTTACATTATTATAAATAGCATTAAAGTGCAAAGAAAATATCTGCCCACACATTCACACAACGCCAACTAAAATTAGCAGATTACTGACGTTACGTTGGAATTATTTGAATTTACAGACTGGCACAAATTAAATTAAGTTCTGACAGTGATCTGTTGATCACAGATCGAGAAACTATATGATTTATCTGTAGCAATAAACAACATTAATTACGTGATCACATATTTTTCTGTTATATTATCTCGATTTACTAAAATCTATTTCAAAACTTCTTGCTGTTATCAGTGAAATAAAATTCGTCAATACGTAAAAAAAAATATTATTTAGTAATAATGATGGTTACGGGGGGGAATAACATACGTCATGAGTTTCACACGTCACATAAATACTATAAACGAATAATCAATTTTATTTTACTTCATAAAAACAATATTTAACCAAGCCCAGAAGGTTCGTGTTCCTAATGGCAATTTGAAATTGCACTTCTACTTTGTATCTGCGAGGTCCCTAGTTCAAATCCTAACCAAGAAATCAACTGACCAAAGTCAGATTATTTGAGGCCTCAGTTCGGCCACGCAAATGATGAAATAATACCTTAAATTAATTCACATTCTCCTTCCACATCATTTCCAATTCATTATTCACTAATTACTCCATCATTCAATGCTACATAGTCTGATCTACCGTCAGCATTGTTAAATAAACGACTTAAATATCGTAGCCTATTTTAAGACTGTATTCCAGCATTTGCACTGTAACGAGATTAAAACCTAGGATCTCTTGAATATGAATCATTCCTCCATTCAGACTTAAAGATTTTAATAAAACATATAAACAGATGGTCTATATACGTAATTTTCTTCGATCCATCAACATTCAATAATTGACACACTTCATACCTTTCTTAACATCAATTATTCATTAATGTTAATAATGTATGCATGAATATGACGGATCAAAGTCAGAGATTTATCAGTAACCATAAAAGGATGCGTGAAGATAAGTAAAGTTCTACAGCTACTTGTTCTGCGTGGTACTTACAAATCTTGCTGACCCTCAAAACAAGATAAACTCTGAACCAACATTCTGTGCGTGTCACAGGACCGTTGAGAGTATGAATGGAATATGGATCAATTTGTACACGGCAACATAATGTACGATAACGGGAAACTCCAAGGTCTTTCTATTTTTAGTTTATGACAACTGAGTAATTAATTAGCAACGTAAAAATACGTATGAAACTCTCACAATGCACACATAAATGCCTGATACATAACCTGAGAAATCTTCACTGTAGGAACCCTAAGTTATATAAGCATGACAAAAATGACAGAGTGATGATGATGATGTTAATTAAAAAAATCCATACTTTAGATGAGATATAAACCATTTATAAGTTACGGTCGCATCATAATTCTTTCACAATTATGCTAACAACTACCTAGGGATCACATAAAAGTATTATTTACTTTGAACCAAATATAAGACAATCTTTCTCAGTCCACAATTTCGATGGTACATTTGATATTATTTCTTTCACCTAACCTAATTTCATGACCAGATACTATGATATTTTTCTAGACTTTTCCTAAAATATTAAACAAATTATTAATATTATCTGAGTTGCAATGTTCTCACAGCGATGAAAATATTGATTATGGTCTTCTGGCTTATGAAGTCATGCAGTTTTATAGGTTATAATCGTGTTTGGATCAGCATTAGAAACTATTCTCATAAACAAATTTGTTTGGAATAATTGTAATCTTAAAATGTCCAATCACACTCAAGAATATGGTCAGCCATTTCTTATTATTTTACAATATCTATTATCTCTATCATAGTTAATATTAACATATTCACTAACCTATAATATTATGTACATAGTATTATAGGTTATGTTTAGTTGGGAAATCATAAAGATGAATATACTGTATACCATTCTTGTGCTCAACACTAGAATTAACTTCAATTTTATACACAGGGCATAAACATACGTAAGAAGCTTGGCAATGAATGAGAAATACAGCAGTATTATATGCTACTTGTGACTTTTAAGTTTGTAGTTAACTACAATGTACAGAATTACAGCTGCTACAACCCTCAGGAACAAGAAGTTGAGAGAATTGTTTAAAAAAAGGCTGGTTGAACCTACCGTGTACTGTGTGTTTACAACAAATCCGAACCCACTGCCAAATGACGTATCAAATATTACGGTTAATAAGCTTGATAATGACGGACTTCAACGTTTGGCCAAGTTGTTTCCGAAACGTGAAGAATTTCCAGCTCGCCACATTGGACCCAGAGATCATGAACAGACACAGATGTTGGAACTGCTTGGATTTAGAGTAAGTTAAGGAAAACAATTTTCCAAATTACATTAATGAAGAAATTAAGAGCAGATTAAAATTTGGGAAATGCTTGTTACGACACAGTTCAGAATCTGCTATGTGAAATCCCAGATTGAAGAATAATAATAACTGTAAATTTGCCTTTTGTTGTATACGTGTGCGTACCTTGGTCTTACACATTAATCAAAGAACGCAGATAGAGGGTGTTTGAGAACATCTCAACCTACGTGAGATGAAGTGACAAGAAACTGCATAATGAGGAGCTTTAAAAACTGTACTTATCACCAATTGTAGTTTGAATGATCAAATCGATGATAAATGGGTGGGGCATGTAACACAGGAGATTAGATATGCTCTCAAAAATTTTGGTTAGAAAGTCTCAAAGGAAGAAACCACTTGGAAGACCTAGGCATAGATGGGAGGAAGATATTAAAGTGGATCTTAGGCAAAATTGGGTGGGAGGAGGGAAATGGAATCACCTGACTCAAGATACTGACCAGTTGTGGATGCCTGCAAACTTGATAATGAATATTTGAGGTTCATAGAAGTTGGATAATATCTTGACTAGCGAAGTGACTAAGCTTCTCAATGAAGAATCTACTCTTGGTAATTAGTTATTAACAACAATAATGACACATGTGGCCATTCTGTGACTCCATTTGTTTCATCTGTAGACTCTCGATGAAATGACAGACATGGCTGTTCCCGCAAAAATTAGACTTAACAAAGATTTGGAAATTGAAGAACCGGTGGGTAAGTTACATTTACATTTATGTTTGTTTTTATATAAATTGTGGAACTTCACCCTGATAGAGGCAGATTTACGTGTCAAACACTGAACATTTGTTTCGTGATATACAGGAGAGTACGAACTGATCAAACGTATCAGAGAGATAGCCGAGAAGAACAAGATATGGAGAAGCTACATCGGAATGGGTTATAATAACTGCTGTGTGCCACACACCATCATGAGGAATATATTTGAAAATCCTGGCTGGTGGGTATAAATCAACATTTAAAATGACTTAGTCCCAAAAGCAGAATTTATATATTAAAATCTGACCGCAAAAACCTAAAGACAATATTTATTACAACATATTATCATGGTTTTATCATAGATTCTGATTAGGAGAAAATTAGTGTGTGTGTGTGAATAAAATACACATTTGACTTAGCGAGCTGTTTTATTGTTGGTTTTATATCCTTCGCACTTAACTTTATTTCACACGACACACTAACAAGAGACACTGTTCCGATAGCTACCGTTAATAAGCAGAGAAAATACAACTGGTGATTGGTTTCCAGGACAACTCAGTATACACCTTACCAACCAGAGGTTGCCCAAGGCCGCCTGGAAGGGCTCCTGAACTATCAGACAATGGTCACTGATCTCACTGGTATGGAAGTGGCCAATGCTTCCTTGCTCGATGAAGGCACTGCGGCAGCTGAAGCCATGAGCCTCTGTCACAGGTAAAATTACCCAGTGACATCTCTTACTTCATCACACAGGCGCTTAGGCGAGAGGCAATACAGCTCCTACTCATTCTTGAACATGGAACTAGATAGGGGTGAGGGGTAAGCGTCACACCCTGGCCACGCTCTACCCCCAGGAAAGGACACCGGTACCAATTAGATAGGAGTCTGGGCAAGCCCTAGAGCCGGTGCGGACGCAGAGGCTAGAGGAAAAATCCTCTGCCCATTACCATATGACGTTAAAGGTTAATAATAATTAGTAACTAAATTACATTTTATTATTAAGTTAAAATTAATATTGTTTCTACAGACATACCAAGAGACGGCGCCTGTTTCTTTCTGACCAGCTTCACCCTCAGACGGTGTCCGTGGTCCAGACTAGAGCCGACTCACTGGGACTTACAGTTGAGCTGGGAAATGTGTTTGCGGCAGACTTTTCGAATCGAGACATTGCTGGTGTGCTGTTCCAGTATCCAGATACTGGGGGTTCTGTCCATGACTACTCAGAAGTAGTACAGAGGGCTCATTCCAATGGCGTAAGCTAAAAGAAAAACATAACAGAGCATCGTATTTTCACAGACTGTTTCTTATTCTTACAGAATGTTGTATCTTCATCATTAATGAGAAATGGTGAAAAGACTTGAAATTTGGAATTCCTAGTAAAAGTTTCTTGTGCTGAAAATGTTACTAGTGAACGGATGAAGTCAGATTCCAAAACTGTTCACCACAGAACATTTGAGTTCCATGAGATATAAACCATTTATAAGTTACGGTCGCATCATAATTCTTTCACAATTATGCTAACAACTACCTAGGGATCACATAAAAGTATTATTTACTTTGAACCAAATATAAGACAATCTTTCTCAGTCCACAATTTCGATGGTACATTTGATATTATTTCTTTCACCTAACCTAATTTCATGACCAGATACTATGATATTTTTCTAGACTTTTCCTAAAATATTAAACAAATTATTAATATTATCAGAGTTGCAATGTTCTCACAGCGATGAAAATATTGATTATGGTCTTCTGGCTTATGAAGACATGCAGTTTTATAGGTTATAATCGTGTTTGGATCAGCATTAGAAACTATTCTCATAAACAAATTTGTTTGGAATAATTGTAATCTTAAAATGTCCAATCACACTCAAGAATATGGTCAGCCATTTCTTATTATTTTACAATATCTATTATCTCTATCATAGTTAATATTAACATATTCACTAACCTATAATATTATGTACATAGTATTATAGGTTATGTTTAGTTGGGAAATCATAAAGATGAATATACTGTATACCATTCTTGTGCTCAACACTAGAATTAACTTCAATTTTATACACAGGGCATAAACATACGTAAGAAGCTTGGCAATGAATGAGAAATACAGCAGTATTATATGCTACTTGTGACTTTTAAGTTTGTAGTTAACTACAATGTACAGAATTACAGCTGCTACAACCCTCAGGAACAAGAAGTTGAGAGAATTGTTTAAAAAAAGGCTGGTTGAACCTACCGTGTACTGTGTGTTTACAACAAATCCGAACCCACTGCCAAATGACGTATCAAATATTACGGTTAATAAGCTTGATAATGACGGACTTCAACGTTTGGCCAAGTTGTTTCCGAAACGTGAAGAATTTCCAGCTCGCCACATTGGACCCAGAGATCATGAACAGACACAGATGTTGGAACTGCTTGGATTTAGAGTAAGTTAAGGAAAACAATTTTCCAAATTACATTAATGAAGAAATTAAGAGCAGATTAAAATTTGGGAAATGCTTGTTACGACACAGTTCAGAATCTGCTATGTGAAATCCCAAACTGAAGAATAATAATAACTGTAATTTTGCCTTTTGTTGTATATGGGTGCGTACCTTGGTCTTGCACATTAATCAAAGAACGCAGATAGAGAGTGTTTGAGAACATCTCAACCTACGTGAGATGAAGTGACAAGAAACTGCATAATGAGGAGCTTTAAAAACTGTACTTATCACCAATTGTAGTTTGAATGATCAAATCGATGATAAATGGGTGGGGCATGTAACACAGGAGATTAGATATGCTCTCAAAAATTTTGGTTAGAAAGTCTCAAAGGAAGAAACCACTTGGAAGACCTAGGCATAGATGGGAGGAAGATATTAAAGTGGATCTTAGGCAAAATTGGGTGGGAGGGAGGAAATGGAATCACCTGACTCAAGATACTGACCAGTTGTGGATGCCTGCAAACTTGATAATGAATATTTGAGGTTCATAGAAGTTGGATAATATCTTGACTAGCGAAGTGACTAAGCTTCTCAATGAAGAATCTACTCTTGGTAATTAGTTATTAACAACAATAATGACACATGTCGCCATTCTGTGACTCCATTTGTTTCATCTGTAGACTCTCGATGAAATGACAGACATGGCTGTTCCCGCAAAAATTAGACTTAACAAAGATTTGGAAATTGAAGAACCGGTGGGTAAGTTACATTTACATTTATGTTTGTTTTTATATAAATTGTGGAACTTCACCCTGATAGAGGCAGATTTACGTGTCAAACACTGAACATTTGTTTCGTGATATACAGGAGAGTACGAACTGATCAAACGTATCAGAGAGATAGCCGAGAAGAACAAGATATGGAGAAGCTACATCGGAATGGGTTATAATAACTGCTGTGTGCCACACACCATCATGAGGAATATATTTGAAAATCCTGGCTGGTGGGTATAAATCAACATTTAAAATGACTTAGTCCCAAAAGCAGAATTTATATATTAAAATCTGACCGCAAAAACCTAAAGACAATATTTATTACAACATATTATCATGGTTTTATCATAGATTCTGATTAGGAGAAAATTAGTGTGTGTGTGTGAATAAAATACACATTTGACTTAGCGAGCTGTTTTATTGTTGGTTTTATATCCTTCGCACTTAACTTTATTTCACACGACACACTAACAAGAGACACTGTTCCGATAGCTACCGTTAATAAGCAGAGAAAATACAACTGGTGATTGGTTTCCAGGACAACTCAGTATACACCTTACCAACCAGAGGTTGCCCAAGGCCGCCTGGAAGGGCTCCTGAACTATCAGACAATGGTCACTGATCTCACTGGTATGGAAGTGGCCAATGCTTCCTTGCTCGATGAAGGCACTGCGGCAGCTGAAGCCATGAGCCTCTGTCACAGGTAAAATTACCCAGTGACATCTCTTACTTCATCACACAGGCGCTTAGGCGAGAGGCAATACAGCTCCTACTCATTCTTGAACATGGAACTAGATAGGGGTGAGGGGTAAGCGTCACACCCTGGCCACGCTCTACCCCCAGGAAAGGACACCGGTACCAATTAGATAGGAGTCTGGGCAAGCCCTAGAGCCGGTGCGGACGCAGAGGCTAGAGGAAAAATCCTCTGCCCATTACCATATGACGTTAAAGGTTAATAATAATTAGTAACTAAATTACATTTTATTATTAAGTTAAAATTAATATTGTTTCTACAGACATACCAAGAGACGGCGCCTGTTTCTTTCTGACCAGCTTCACCCTCAGACGGTGTCCGTGGTCCAGACTAGAGCCGACTCACTGGGACTTACAGTTGAGCTGGGAAATGTGTTTGCGGCAGACTTTTCGAATCGAGACATTGCTGGTGTGCTGTTCCAGTATCCAGATACTGGGGGTTCTGTCCATGACTACTCAGAAGTAGTACAGAGGGCTCATTCCAATGGCGTAAGCTAAAAGAAAAACATAACAGAGCATCGTATTTTCACAGACTGTTTCTTATTCTTACAGAATGTTGTATCTTCATCATTAATGAGAAATGGTGAAAAGACTTGAAATTTGGAATTCCTAGTAAAAGTTTCTTGTGCTGAAAATGTTACTAGTGAACGGATGAAGTCAGATTCCAAAACTGTTCACCACAGAACATTTGAGTTCCATGGATTTGATTATGATGACTAACATACAAATCATTCTCCATTAAATTACACATCTGGAAGATGCTTCTGTATACCTAAGTAATCATTCACCTTCATGAAGTGCACGGTCCACATACCTCTGCTATTCAGAGTTGGTCACTGATGACAGCTATCACAGAACACTTTTTCATGGTTTTTCATTAACCCCTGGGGAAAGTAAGTCATGATGGCTTCCTTTCACATCCATTCCAATCATTCACATTCATCTCATTATTCGATAATACGATAACATTAAGCAAGTCAGCGCAATGATCCTTGTCTTCTCTGCATCTTTGCACGTTGCCACTGTGAAGAAAAGAATGTTGAACTTATTCTGACACACAATGAAGGATACTTCTGCCAGATTACAACATTAAAATTGATAAAACAGTGCCTGAGGATGATGTAGAAGTAAACAAAAAAATTAAAACATCATTCTATGGGGATTTACAGCATTTCTTAAGGTCCAATGTAACCCGTATGTTGGTAGACTCTGGTCTGCTGTGCTACAGACCTGCTGGCATTAACACTGCTCCGCCCTCCAAGTGAGTTTGATGTGGACATTTCTCTTGGAACCAGCCAGCGGTTTGGAGTGCCTCTTGGCTACGGCGGTCCACATGCTGGTTTCTTTGCTTGCAGACAATCACTGGTCAGACTAATGCCAGGCCGTATGATCGGAGTCACCCGGTACGTATTCAAAGATCAAATTTAATACAATATAATGCTCATCCTTAAGTTCTTGCACTTGGGAGTTTTAATACACAAGGTACACTTTTGGTAATAAGCCGTGAAAAATGTTAAAACTTCAGCCACCACAAAATCTTCGCTTTGTACTTCACAGTTTCTCTTTCATTTGATGTAAAATGTTAAAACTTCAGTCCCCACAAAATCTTCGCTTTATACTTCACAGTTTCTCTTTCATTTGATGTTACAAGCATTTGTCATTTTCTCAGTTTTGCATAATCAATTTAAATGTAATTTATAAACAGGGACGCAAGTGGGCGCGATGCGTATCGCCTGGCCTTGCAAACCAGAGAACAGCACATCAGGCGAGATAAGGCCACCAGCAACATATGCACAGCCCAAGCATTGCTGGCCAACATGTCGGCCATGTACGCTGTATACCACGGACCGCACGGACTGAGGGAGATCGCAACCAGGATCCACAAATCCGCGCTGCTCTTGAGCGAAGGTATAAAAATTCATCATCTTATGCAAATGACTAACAGTAGGGTGACTGACTATGGAGAATGTAAGCTCTTCTGAAACACTGGTCAATATCTACTAGACTGCATGGTGTAACACACCATAAGATGGCCATCTGCATACTTGTCTCTACATAAAATTCAAATTCTGACCGGGTTGTTTACAAGACCTTAAAGTCATCAAGTTGGTATTTTACCAACATGCAGAAAACACATTCCACAAAATATCTTTTGTACATATTTTGTATAACCTTTAATCACATCAAATTTAACATTACGATAATCTTCAGGTTTATTAAAAATATATAATTCCTTGATCAAGTGAATAAATAACTGTTTGAGCAAGATTTAATGCAATGCAGTCAGCCTACTTTAAAGTTTGCTTTACAGACTGAGGAAACCCATGATAAAACTAAATCAGTATGGCAGTCCTAGATTAAGTGCCTCTTCAAACACAAGTCAGATGTTTTTTTCGCTGTGCACGCTTGCTCAATAATAAGTCTTGCATCTATTTCAGGTGTTAAGGAAGGTGGAAACACTGTTACCAACCACATATTCTTCGATACAATACGAATTAATCCAGCGATGGATCAGGGCGAGATTCAGCACAGAGCACGCCAGAAGCAAATCAATCTAAGATTTTATCCTGATGAAACGGTAATACACTTCAGCTTCTTGACTCTTTAAAATCTGATGGTAACTGCACAGAATTTATGTAGTGTTTACAATATCTGCATCGTTACTCTAACAAATATTGCATTAACATATTTTTTACTGTTTTTGCATTTACATGGTGCAACAACCCAGAAGACAGCCATCTTAATAAACCACATTAATAAGAAAATTTTTGTCTGAGAAATTTATTAAAATTTGAATCGAGCATAAAGAATACTAACTAACATTAACAGAAAGTGGAAATGTGAATAAAATTTCGTCTAGCCTTGATATTGAGAGGGCAGTTTGTTTTAAACTGACAATACAAAAATATTTATACTATCTTTTCTTACAGGTAGGTGTCTCTCTTGATGAAACAGTTACCATTCAAGATATTGAGGACCTGCTCTGGGTTTTTGGTTCAAGGTTATCAGCTGAAGAGGTACGTTTGCAAATTAAAAGTCTGCTACAGATGTCAGCACCAAAATAAATTGCTTGCCGATGACATTTAATGAAATCTGAAGAAAAAAAATATATAAAAAACTGTAGAGATAAACACATCATACTCCTAGTTATCTGTACGCAGATAATTTCGTCTGCACGGTTTTGGTGCACGTTTTCTAATAATCTGTCTGACCTGGTAGAAGTTTATGATGTTTCAGAGGTACTTGCTGCTGACATCACTAGGTAGATCTCAAATATCAGTAAACTACCAGAGTACATGGCACAACAACCAAGATGACAACCGTCTTCATAAGAACTTAAATTCTATTGAAATTTAATGAAGAAATTCTTACTGCAGGTGGCTGGTAGTTGCGACATGAACGAAGGCAGCATATTTCAGTCAAGTTTTCGCCGCACGTCTCCATACCTCACTCACCCAGTGTTTAACTCATACCATTCAGAGACCCGTATTGTGCGATACATGAAAACTTTGGAGAATAAAGATGTCTCTTTAGTGCACTCAATGATACCTCTAGTAAGTACAGGTTTATTTCCGAAACTCTCACATTTCTGTACACTATTCAGAATTAAAGAAAGACATATCTTCAGTTGCAAAAGAAAAAGGGAATTTGTTAATTTATTTTATCAGAAGAATGTACGGCGTACTGCTCGCCTGTTACAGCTAGAAGCTTGAACTTATGTTATGCAGGTAGCAAGGTTAAAAGGCAAATAAATGAGGGCATAAGGGAACGGTTACTACTCCCCATTACTTATACGAGTCTAAAATACATAAAATTCATAATACAAATTCACCTCATGCTCTGGCTATGCAGTATTAATTATTTCCTCATTTTATGTAACTCTGAATTTCCTCCAAATTGGTTTCTATAAAAATTAAAAATTTCAATGACAGAACAAAAACAAAATACTAATATTTTTGTAATAACATAACAGCAGTTATCAACAGCACTGAGATAAACCACCGTGTTTACTTTAACAGTAAACTCGACAGAAGTAACATATACAACAGCCAAAGAACAAATCATTTTCAGCGGATTACTGGTACGGTAATATCAACCAATTACTACCAACTACCAATTTGATCGGTAGATCAGTACTGAACATGTTACAAAAATTTTGCGGTCTGAGACGTGGGCATTGTGCCTCTTGTTCACTGCGACCGCGGGTTCGAATCCCACTCAAGCCATGGATGTCTGTCCGCATTTTTCTGTGTTGTGCTGTCCTGTGTACAGGTAGAGGCCTCGCGACGGGCCGATCCTCGTCCAAGGAGTCCTACCAAATGTCTATAGATCAAGCCAACGAAAAGTTGGGGACCCGCAGTGCTCAGGCACTTGAAGAATGGGTCGTTCCCAGTATCCCAGTAAAGCAGATAAGACTCACTCAAATTACGGCATTGCTTACAGGGATCTTGTACTATGAAACTTAACAGTACCACAGAGATGATGCCATGCAGCTTCCAGCATTTTACCGACATACATCCATTTGCACCACTCGACCAGTCACTTGGCTACCAGCAACTTTTTGAAGAGCTACAACAAGACTTATGTGCCATCACCGGTTATGACAGAATTTCATTCCAACCCAACAGGTCAGATTATCACAAGAGCTGTTAGTTAGTACAGTTAGAATAATAATGCTGTACCCTCTGCATAGGTTAAACAATGTGAAGTGAGAGATGTCAGAATGATGTATAAAGTGAAAAATAAATTAAACTTATATTTACAAGCACTACCGCCATTTTCTGCCCATAGCGTCTGTTACATAAAACACAAGACCACGATATGAAGACAAAACTATAATTTTACAAAAGCATAAACTTGGTCCATGACTCGAGACAAGAATTGAGGGTTCTTGAGGAAAAAGTGACAAGTTAATGCACACAAAATTTTAGTTGTACGAGAACATGTGGGGACTCTGATATACATGGGAGGATGTAAAGGTGTAGACTGGAATAAACTGATTCAACGTAGTGTCCAATTAAGAACATTTGCGTTCAAAAAAGACAGGGAACTTCTTGAATAGACAACTAAAACTATCTGCTTTTCAAGATCTTGTACCCTGTAGAATAATGAGAAGGTCATTTAAAAAACCACTGCTATAATTTATCATGGTTTTAGTGGGGCGCAAGGAGAGTACGCTGGACTGAGCGCCATCAAGTGTTATCACGAGGCACGCTCAGAAGGACATCGTAACATCTGCCTCATTCCAGTATCTGCTCATGGAACTAACCCTGCCTCTGCACAAATGGCTGGTATGAAGGTGGAACCAATAAACGTATGTCGTGACGGAAGCATCGATATCTCGCATCTCGCTTCTAAGGTGAGCACAGCAGCGCTTCACCAACTGTTACAGATAGCATCAATTTGCACGATAATTATGAACAATGAGCATGCACACTGCGACTGACTGCTGGGATGTAGCGTCATGCCATCCCAGAAGACGGGCGTCTTCACCACAAACATTTTTAGACTGAGAAATTTTGAGCAATGAAGAAACCTGCTTAGATAATAATGGAAATAATAAAATGTTGATGTATTATTGTGGAATTGTGTATAGCGAATTAAAATTTTTCTGTTTGTTGCAATAAGGTCGAAAAGCATGGAAAAAACTTGGCTTGCCTCATGATCACATATCCATCAACAAATGGGGTGTTTGAAGAAACTATCGCTGACGTTTGTCACATGATCCATGACAATGGTGGACAGGTGAGGTTTGGTATTTGCATCATGGCTCACAATGTCTTAATTTTAAAGTGAAAAAAAAAGTAAGTATATATTATGGGCATTTAATAGTTGATGGTATTTAAATCCCAAAGAAAATCTAGCTGAAAAACTGAAACTTCTAGCACTTTTACGACTGGCGAGGATTAATGTCTCTGAAACATTCTGGGATAATTAAAGGACAACAGATATGCCATATCTGGATGGGTATTTTCTAATATTTTTGAGGTATTTATTTTTAAATTTTTTTCATGTAGGTATACTGAGACGAAAAATTAAATTTTGTGTCTAACTGCCGTTATTGTCTGAGAATCGTAAAATCAGTTTCCTCTGTAATCACTCTGACAATTTATGCATTCGTAATGCACCTTGTGCCACTACGAATAAAGGGACAGATTCATCACTATTTTAAATAATTACAGCAAATTCAAGGAGTGGGAAAGTTTTCACACTGGTTCAAAAACTGTGCACAAAACCGAACTTTTCATCTCGCTTCAAGAACAGATTTAAACAGACTTCAATTTCCGGGCAGAATATGCCAAAACATATTCTGTACTGAATAACAAGTAAAAATGTTTGAAGTAACAGCAAATGTAAGCAACGACCACGTAGTTTACGTCATTTACAACTTTGTAGCCTGTGAGTCCACAAGTAAGGGCAAACGTGGCTTCAGGACTGGAAAATGCTGAGAAACCCTAAAGCATTTGTAAATTTTTATAGGTATACCTTGATGGAGCTAACATGAATGCACAAGTTGGCCTATGCCGTCCAGGTGACTATGGTTCTGATGTATCTCATCTGAATCTCCATAAAACATTCTGCATCCCCCACGGTGGCGGAGGGCCCGGAATGGGACCAATCGGAGTGTGAGTTGTTTTAGAACGATTATCAATTAGTATTTTATAATTCGTTTCTAACATCATTAAAAGTAAATGAAATTTAAAGTCTTAACAGCAGTGAATTTTTCTTTTTCCATGATGTCAAAAGTGCCTTCAGGAAATATAAACTCAAATGTTGTAACTTCACAGTCATGGCAGAACAAAGAAACATATACTGAAGAACAGTATATGTAATTTTTCTGTTGCACTTCATTAAACATACACCACATGGAAAAATGTTTTTGATTCATATACGATTTGAAGCTTTCATGGTGAATGAACTTAATTAAATCTTCCTGGGCAACACAAATTCAATAAATTTGAGGCAAAAATTACTTTTGATTTCTGCCTGCAATTGTTTTATCATGAACCATTGTCTACTTTACAGAAAAGCTCACTTAGCACCATTCTTACCCACACATCCTGTGGTGAATCCAATGGCTGACATGGGTCGCCATTCCAAATCATTTGGAGTTGTAAGTGCGGCGCCATTTGGATCATCTGCAATTCTTCCCATCTCATGGGCGTACATTAAGGTAAGGTATCTTGTACAGTTTTATCAAAAGTATTAGAAACCATCAGACAATAAAGCTGATAAACCAAGATGTTTCTCAAATTAATATCTGTTACATCGTTTCAAATCAGTAACCTCGTCTTCCAACATTTTTTCCAGTCCGTCATTCTTGATAATCAACACAAATAAATAAAACAAAACAAAATTAATAAAAACCCTCTCGTTTACTCAACTCTTGATTTTGACTCATGTCTGGAACACGGAATCCTTTCTTTTACTGTCACATCGAGTCCAGCTCTGGGTCCCATCCAGGATTCCTACCCAATAAAAAATAGGAGACCGCAGATATTTACTTAGTGCTAATGCTAATAATTATCGGAGTTTTATTTCCACGCCCTCTTACACCTTCAATGCAGTGTTTATGCCCAATGAAAACCTGCTGCTTCCAGGACTGTAAGCATCTACTTGCTATTTATTGTTTAGTGTTTTAAAGTGCCAAGAATTTCAGAATCAAATACTGTATTCTACACATCTACGCTCACTTCAACCCATCACTGCCAATCCCAATTCTACTCCGTCAATGTCTTAATCGCAGTGCCAGACTTCGAAAAACAACACAGACCTTCTATATCATTAATATAAAAACAAAACTTCCTGAAGGTAACACCCAAAATGCTGATACCCAAATATATCAATTAGCATCCGGCTTCAGGGACTTCGGTACTAAAAAATGTGGCAATGAATGGGTTACGTAATTCAGTAATTGTCAATTGCGTTTATTTAGAAAATTTATTGAGAACAATTTAGTAAAAACAAAAATGAAAATCCTAACACTGAATGTTATAGACAGTACTGATAACCAATCGTTCAATTTTCAGATGATGGGACCACGTGGACTTAGGAAAGCCACTCAGGTGGCAATTCTGAATGCCAATTACATGAGTAAAAGGTTAGAAGGTCATTACAAGACATTATTTAAGGGCCAGAAGAGTTCTCTCGTAGCTCATGAATTCATTCTGGATGTTCGAGATTTCAAGAAGACGGCTAACATTGAAGCAGTTGATATCGCTAAGCGGCTCATGGACTATGGTATAGTATCACATCTCAAACCAGATACAGTGTTTTCAGATTTTCAATTTCAAAGTACAGGATTTACTATTGTGAGTGTCTCTATGTGTGAGAAACAGGTAAGGTTGAGAAAAGACAGATAGACTGACACTGTGATAACAGAAACTGAAAATTCAAATTCACCAAACACACAACTGAACATGATCCTGAGTGATTTCATTCCAATTCACATCTTCACAGCATATTTTCTAAGAAAGATCCAGTTTAATATTATCCTCCCACCTCCTTTTTGGTCTTCCAATTACTAGTTTCATTCTTCTAGTGTAAATGATTCCAGAGGAAAAATAACAAAATACTCCGGCTATGAATATCATAATACGCTGCTATAATGTTCAAAGAATACATTATGTATCAATAACGTTTGAAGACTATTAACTCTAATTATGATTTGTTTACTTCTTGATTTACTTAATGACACTGTCGATGCATTAGCTCATGTGGTAAGATGATTAATTAGTAATGAAATGGAAAGAATGTTGAATGTAAGTGGCCACAACTTGAAGTACAATCGAGGCATGTCTTCAGAGGCTTCCGACTGTATCTCAGGACAACGTCCTTAGTCTGATCACAGGACTTTGAATAGCCCTGCAAATTACGAACACACCACCTGGTTCCGAAAGTTTATATGACATGTTATTCAGGTTTTCATGCACCTACAATGTCGTGGCCTGTTTCTGGAACTCTGATGATCGAGCCAACCGAGTCCGAAGACAAACAGGAACTGGACAGGTTCTGCGATGCCTTAATTTGTAAGTAACAAACTGACTACAAAAAACCTCACTCATTCATACTTCACGGTCAACCAACGGATGGCAATCGCAATTAATCGCACTGATATTTTTTAGACATCAGACAAGAAATAAATGAAATAGAAGAGGGGAGAATGGACATTCGCACCAATCCACTAACAATGGCTCCTCACACGCAAGCACGGGTTATCTCAAATGACTGGAACCGACCGTACACAAGGGAACAGGCTGCATTTCCAGCTGTAAGTATCTTATATCAGATCATGAAGATACATTTTCTTTGTGAAATTTTAGGTTATGGTGGTAAAGATGCAGATGGTGGTCTACCAGGTTGTGACCCAATGCAGACCTGTAGATGATTACCAACGTCTCAGACGAAAAAACTGTCTCAGTCCTCAGGGTTCTCTACAAGTTCACACAGTATTAAAACCTCGATCACCACGGACACCGCTAAATGTTAAACGTGCAATTAAACTGACTCTATAAATATTTTAACGTCAAAACTGTTTTAAGATTCAAGTATTTCATGCTGTAAACATCCAGCATCCCACAACCATGACAACAAAATATCTTAGGCATAACACTTCCTTTAATTTTAATGAGATTTGGTTCTTTCTCTGTTCTAGCCATTTGTTCATCCTGAGACAAAAGTGTGGCCGAGTGTCGGAAGAATTGATGATATATACGGAGATAAACACCTTGTCTGCACTTGTCCACCAATTCTACCTGCTTACTGATGTGAAACTTGTCATGTTTTGTACTAAATAAGATTTTCCTTTTTTTATTTTTCATATTGTTTTACTTCAAGTTTTGCTGAAAAATAAAGATATTTTGTTCGATTCTTAGGTTATTGGTCATAGAGGCTATAAGAAAATCCTTTTCCTCTTCCAGAGACTGAACCCTAGTAATTCAGTTCATGGTCAGACTCAGTAAGCTACACCAGCTCTGTGGATTATACACCATAGTATACAGTGTTCATTTTTACTATAATCTCATTTTCTTTGGTAGAAAAGATCCACCAATTTTTGTTTGAACCTCCCTTTTCTTGTTAATTTTACCAATGGCAAGGTCCAGTGCAACAATGTGCTGAATTATGCCATTATTGACCGAGTTCTGTTCAAAGTACTTGCGAATTTTTTCAATACAAATTTGAGCCTGCTTTGAAGTCACCTTTTCACCATTTCCTAGATCATTATCTTCACTCTCACTGTCGGTTATAACCGAATCATTCCTTGCCAAGTGCACGATTTCTTCAGAAGTCATTTCTGAAAACACTGGTTCTTCAGCATCCACTTCTAGAAATTCTTCTGCAGTCAACTGTATTCTTGTTACAGCTACTGGAAGATCTTCTATAGTCATCTGTAAATCTTCAACTGGGTGAACGTCTTGCTGATCACGGTGCACACCTCTGATAAGTCCAGAGTGTACCCAGCAGTTGCTGACTGTTACTGATGAAACTTCATCCCACGCAAGTTTTATTAAATAAAGCGCATCTTTCAGTGACAAATGAATCAAAGAGCCATTGTTGATACTCCCCACAATCTTCCTCACTTGGTGACACCTGTAATGTGCTTTGAAACTCTTGGCAATGCCAGAATTTAGAGGCTGTAGAGAGCCAGAACAGTTACGAGGCAAAAATTCAAGTCTTACATGGCTGAGATTTGTGGGTTTATGACAAGGAGCATTGTCCACAAGCAACAGCACATTGCGCAACTTCTTTTTCATATCCTTATTAAAGTCTTTAATCCACTCACCAAATTCTACAGTAGTCATCCAGGCTTTTGGATTATGTCTATAATTTACATAAATTGACGGGTTGAAATTCTTAAAACATCGTGGGTTTGCATATTTTCCTATCACAGTTACAGTTCTCTTGTCGCTCCCATCTGCATTTGTACATAATGCAAGGGTGAGCCTGTCTTTTGCCTTCTTGCACCCCTTTGCAGGTCCATCTGAAATGGTCTTGTCTGGTTGCATTCGGTAAAACAGAGCACTCTCATCCATGCTGTAGATGTCTTTAGGATCATATTCTTTAACAATATCATAAAGCCTCTGTCGACCTGCTTCAACCACTTCCTCATTTATCTTTGCTGTTTCTCCAGGCTTTTTAAGCTGACTTAGTCCATGTCGTCGCTTGAATCGATGCAACCACCCGCTGCTGTATACAAAATTTGTCACACCCATCTGCTGTCCAATTACTTTTGCTTGTTCCTTAATGACTCCATCAGTTGTTGTCCCATTTCTCGCGTTCACTTGCCCTATCCAAATAATTAATGCATCCTCAAGGTCTTCATGTTTTGCGCCCTTCAACCGTTTCATATTTTCACATCTTTCATTCTCCCATTTCTCTCTTTCACTGAGAATATCTCCAACACAGCGCCTACTGAGGGGTTTACCCCATAAACGAGAGAAATGGTTGGCAATATTTTGCTGACTTGCACATGGATATCTTTCTTTGTAGGCACATATATCTTTCTTTTCACCAACACTTAACACTGCCCTTTTACCCATGTCAAACGAAACTGACTGATTACAAACACCTTAACTCAGCGTCCAGTCTGGAGACCGCATTCAAGCCGAAGTGAGTTTGAAACGGCCAAAATTGTAGGGTGACTCTGCAACTGTTCCACGGGAACATTTAATGTTTTCTTACTGAATGCTACTCCTTCTGTCGAAAGATTACCTACGTACGTTTTATTTGTTAAGACAGTTAGTATATTTTACAAATGAATATTCTAGGAAGTTGCCCCCATAACCTAAGTTAACAAAATAGCATGGCGCCGTATCGGACTTCGTTGTAATGCTTTCCAGTACAATGGTATTGCCAAAAATGTTGGCAGATGGCGGCTAACGGGGGCGCGGCGCTCAAGCAGGGATATCACTTTGAAATTACATGCGGAATAAACAAATTAACAGACAGAGAAAACTTAATGGAATATATTACCTATCAACCGTCAATTATTTAACATTCACTGCCACTGTCGGCGGTAAATAAAACTCTTCACACAAAACTCACTCCACATCTACCATATTGGACTTCGAATAACTCCCTGGTGGTTGACATGTAAATCACACTCACAGAGCGCAAAATACAATTTCCTACCGACACCCGAAAATTATCCCTTTGCAATGATTGCTACACCTGAAAGCACACAAATTTAGCAAATCTTAAAACGAAATCAATTTGGAAAACCTTATGTAACTTTGCTTTTGAAAAAGTCTTTATTTAGGTGGAAAGAAGGCCTTCCTATATTTATATCACTAGCACAGTCTGAATTTCTAATAGTGCTCCTGTCATCATCCCATCAGCTATTAAGTAATGTGGTACATTACAATTGCATGTCACCTCTTCAGTAGTCTTCTTAACATTTATTTCCCCTTCATGTTATAACCTGTTTTGGTACCCTGTTGTTTTCAATTAGTTCTATTGTTATGGCTACAACAATGAAACTAATTACAACTAAATCAGCAATTCCCATTAGTTGGCAGTAAAATTTAAAATATAGACTCATGGCCATTTTTAATAACCTATTATTATGTGTGTTTCTGTTAACTTAAAAGGGGGGACAGGAAACCAAAAAAAGTTATATAGGTAGTACCAAATACAGAAATAACAATCATCTTATCCTTCAATCAAGATAACTATGAAACAAGATGTAAAATAAAATTTATGCAAGAACCAAAATTTTTACTGGTACTCTATTAATCTGTGCAAATTTACATTTCTCTGTCATGTCCAAGCTATTTTACATTCAGCTGCACTTAATACATTATTAAAAATTTGTATGTCTACCTGTTTAAATATTTTCTACTCACCTTAAGCAAAATTTTCTGCACAGCTACACAGTAAACCTAGATGGAGATATGTAATATTTTTAACCCCTAATTTTATTTAATCATAACCAGCACTGTACAGTTGTGATAAACACCCTGGTATTATATGAATTACATGATGGCACAATAACAAAATGCATAATGCATGCAACTGGAATGGTTGAATTACAGCTGGGTGATTATGTATCAGATGCCAGTTTACATCATAACAAATACAAGACTGACGTATAAACAAGTACCTATTAGTGTATTACTCCAAACTCCAACTGCAGCTTATTTCAGTATATTCAAAGCTTGATGCATCTAAACTGATAACTAAAAAGTCAGAATAAAATATTTTACAAAAGTAGACAAAATGAGATCATTTAAAGCAGACTGCTCCCTACATCAGGACTGATTCTGCCTTACACTGAAGCTTACAGCATACCCCACAAGACAGTTCACAAATTCACAAACATTTGTAATACTATATTATTCTTTTGTATTAGTAACAACAATAAAAAACATTTCACAAAAAATAGTTCAAATAACAGCTAACTTATGGATCTTCCTCTGAAGACAAAAATTTAAAATATAAATCTAAAAAAATATATAATTTGAAATGTACAATTCAATGGCTGGAGTGGAAAAATGTTTTGTATAAAATTTCATATATTTCTTTGTAGAAAGTCACGACATTCAAGCACGAAACAGCACAGGACATTTCTGCTTCAGTTTATAATTCTAACTCCATTCAATTCCATACATCAAATCCCCATCTCACACTCCAAATACTAATATTAAAACAATAATAGGCAGAATATAAAATAACATTATATACACTAACATGTCTGCACTTTATGTGAATCAAAGTTAAATATGACAAATCAAATATTTATAAAAAAAATCACTACAGGTACTTAGCGGGTGTATTTTGACGCATCGCAGTTTCAGAACTGCTCACTGCAACACTAAGCAGCCCATGCAATGAAACGCACACTAACACCTTTTATAAGCTACTGCAATAAAATTCATATAAGGCACTGAAAATGTTGCCTGTTACCTGGTTGAAAAAAAGATATTATTCCATGCACTACTTCCAATCAAGTGCTAGATTAATAATATACAGTAATATTTGTAAATATAATACAGGAATTAAAAATTCATTAGAAGTTGAAGATGATATAAAAGTTCAGTCTTAAATATATTCTGGCTGTTTTTAGACGGGGAAGAATTTACTAATCTTTATCACACAGGAATAAGGTATGTGCTAAGGGGCTACAAACTAAAGAATAACTCTCGGAGAGGTTTAACAGTAGCGGTATCTTAACATGACACACAGCCACATGCGTAACATTAGGATACCACCACTGACGATCAAACCTACATACCACGTGTAAGGTGTGAAACATGGCCGATACAACTTAAGGAATAAAAATGTATCACTTAGCTACAGAATTCTATGTAGGGCTTTTCATTTTGTTATATTGGTAAGTAAATTGTAAATGACAGTTCCTTCTACAAGACACGCCAAACCGCTGTGATGCAAGCCCCGATATATTATCACGAGTTCAAATCTGAAGAATACTTCAATAAACTTTACCAGCTGCGTCGTAACGTGTGTGGTCTGGTCGGCCATGTCACAGTAGCGTGCGTACTGCTAAACTAGTAACTCTGCCTGGCAGCCCTGTTTAAAATCCATATTCCTATATGATAAAGGTTAAATGTGAAGGTATGAAATCTAAAGGAATAATTGGAAATAATAATAAATGCAGGAAGAAGAGTGTAAGACGTGTCAGTACATAAAACACATGAAATTCTTGAAGGCAATTAAGTGATGCACGGCGTGACGGATGTTCCCGTTTGAAAGTTACTTACCTCACTTTACCAAAAGCAGCACCAACCATAAAATTTATATCACCTCAGTATCAACGCAACTGCCATCTATATCACAGAATTCATTCCCTAGGATGTAAAATTGTAACCGTCTATCATAAAATAATTACGACAGCATTCCAGAATGATAACTTATCTCATACTATTCATAGGCTCCAATTCGTTGCTACTATCGCCATTTGTTTCTTTCATTTTGCCAGACGGTTCACCCCATTCATTGCCATACAGCTTTTTTCCTTCGCACATGCATAGGAACATAGTGTCTATCACAATCTGAAAATTACAACAACAAATTATCATCATCATCATTTAGAAGTCATGAAGATAGGCTGCTTATTGACCAGTTCTTGCCTCAATCCAAAAGTATCTTCAAACGTCGAAGATCGCTGTCCTGCGGGATGTTGCAACGTGTAGTCTGGTACTAGTTTACTGAAATTTCAGATGTACTTGCTGCCTTCATCATCAGGGTAACTCAGTGACCTCATGATGGAGGCAATGTCAATACAATTCAACCACATTACACAGTGCAATAAGCCATAAGACAGCCATCTTCGCACTCAATGATGTGAGAATCCGAAATCTTGTATTTAAAAGTTTTTTTTTTCCAGTTTCCCGTTTTTAAAATCTAAAGTTAAGGATAGACGAAAGCCCCCGAAATTCACTAGCGATGCTAAACGAAAACAATACAAGACAGATTCTACTACTCGTAAATATGAGAAAGGTCCGTTACTGATCAGTACAGAATCATTTACCTTCTTGTGCCCCATCTAAAAACCCAAAGATTAAAATATGCAGAAGTATAATTTTACCTGTTGTTTTGCCAGCATAAATGAATGAAATGTGATTCCTCATTAACCAATTAACTAGAGAAAATTTCTGAGAAGTTAACAGTTATTCAGCTGGTCAGTAAATTTCCAAGGTTCAATGCAGAGTTCTAATGAATTCATCTGCATTCTGAGTCAACCTAACCTAACACAAAATTTCTATTACATTCACTTTCATATGATGTTTCTGCTTATACCTGTGTCTTCCAAGTGGTCACTCCACTTCAAATTTTCCAACTACAATTTTATATGCACTTCTTATTTTCCCATATGTGCTACATATCCTACCAATCTCATATTCCCTGATTTTATTATTATAATATTTGTAAAGAAAACCACTTAAAAGCCATTAAAATTACAAATGACACACATTTCCTTACCTCATACAGCGTAAGCACCGAATGCGCTATGAAGTACGCAAATATACACACAATGAGGGTCGGAACTGCATAAAAATGCAAATGAGGGTTTTGTTTCATAATAACCAATCCAATAGAGCCAGTGGCTGCCGTAACGAAACACTTTCCCAAAAACAAGATGAAGTCGCCGACACTGTTCAAAACTGCCAAATCCAGCGCATTACTGACCAAAGTATTAAATGCCTAGAACAAAACAAGAAAACAGAATCACAACGAGATTATTGATGCCGATTAAAATATGGGAGTGTCGGGAATGTTCAGAGGTCTGGGTTTGGTTCCACATCAGTCAACTCACGATTTATAGTAGAAAAAGTGGCTTTTCTCCGAGTCGTTCGGATTCCCAAGGCCAATATCATCCCACCAATGCTTAATATTTACACACGTATAATTTTTTTTTTTTTTTTTGGGGGGGGGGTGAATGATGAGCCCAAAAGAAGCTACAGTCCCATGGAGACACAGTCTTATTAAATTGCAAAAATAAAAGTAAAAAACATTCTGGTTCCTTGGCGAGAATTTATCTCAATACATGCCAATGCATATGCGTATCAAAATAAAAATAAAATAAAAGGAATAAAGAAAGTTTAGATGCATTCAAAAATATTATAATGAATTATCAGTTTTTGGAAAGAAAGGGAAGAGAAAATCACATTGAATTCTCCTCACTTATTTATTTATTTTTTGATCTTCACGTTTGTCTCGTAAGTGTTGAATCTTGTACTAATGACCTGTGTTATGAGTCGTGTTAAACTAACAGAGTAGTTCATAACATTTCAACTCATAATAAAAATATATTTTTATATTTCTGTTTACTTTCATTACTGTCACTTACAATCTTGGCAGACGTGCAGAAACTGTACCCCTCCATTGCTATTACAGTATATGCATTGTGGTTAATGAATTTAATAAAATTCTCCAGGCAGTACAAGCAGCAAATGCACGTTCTCAAGCCGCACGAAGCGCACTCCGAACCTGCAGCCTTGTGTTTCCTCAGTCTGCAAAATATTAGCACCATGCACTTGCCAATATAATTACATCAAAAAACAAAGCACAAACCAGAGTTAAAAAACTTCAGCTACTTCTTAAATTTCTATTACAGCTTTAAAATAAAAGGTAACAAATTATTCATTTTGCCAACAAAAATTTAAAAAATGCATCAGACATGTCTTTCCATACATACACATAAATTTCACTATAGGTTTAATTTATTTAGTTTAAATAACGTGACAGGTCTTTCGAGTGTTCAAAATTCAACCAAAATAAATCACAGTTTTTCCAAAACATCGAAGTTAACCGATATATTTCATTTCCTAATCCAATACACATATCACATTAAATTCAAGAGTTGCCATTCCGGGTAATCCTACGATATACTGCGCATTTTCAACTTAATATACTATTTATTATAAGAACACACAGAGTAATACTTTCAGAAAATCAAACTTTCCCACAGCAGAACTACACGATCCTGCACATACCGAGGGCCAGAGCCAAAATGGTTAGCACTCAGCTTCATATCTGGGACGTCCTTGGTTCAAACCTTAACTCAGAGATTGGTTATCCTGACAAAGGATTTTGGTGATTTTTCTCAGTCCTTCGAGGCAAATACTGGGATCGTACCTCAAATTAAGCCGTGCAGCTTCCTTACATACCCCTACCAATTCATGAATCATCATCCACCTCTTGGTATGAGCTACCGACATTATGGTTACACAAGCCACAGATAAATGCTTTGGAGCATTAACTGGGGGTGCCCCAAAGTGGCGTTAGTCCCCCAGAAGTGGCCTAACCCCTTAGGAGACGACCCAGTCCTCCAATATGGATCTAATCTGAGATGGTAAAGTGAAAAAGGGTGTACAACCTGATGAAGGTAAGGCAAAGGAATAACAATAGGACAATGACCCCCGTCATACAGGTTGCCTAACCACTATGGAAACCGTGACATACATACATGGACGAGTCCCTAAGGTGTTCTTCGCTCATGCTACAATGTGAAGAACACCGAACAAAGAATTGGAAGGAAGTCATCATGGCTGGAGTGACTAAGAAAAACCACTAAAACCTGCAATCGGAATAGTCGGTCTCCGGCCGAGATATGAACCTGTATCCTCCTACATAGAAAAAAAGGTGTTGCACACTTGGCCAAGATGACTGGTACCTTGACACTGGAGTTATTAATGAAATAAATCACACCTATTACGCTGTACCTACTTTCTGTCTATGTAGCTTAGTACCAGCCTTGGAAGTTTGAAGATCGTAATAAGGAACGAGCCCTTAGCCACGGAACCCAAGTGATAGCATATCAGCTTACCCACTGAAGACATCACAGAACCGCTTTCCTTGTTTCGACTGACAAAACAAAAGAAAATATGAAATTAACATAATTAAAATTACTGATGAACTCTTGCCTCAAGATATGAAAACTCAAAAACACATATTTTTAGCTGATTTAATTATCTTTAAAGCACAAAATATACACAATCTTAAATGGAAAGTTAGAATTTTAAACATTTGTTTCAATGGTGCTAAATTTTTAATGCACAAACACGTCTTGCCATCGAAGAACATCAATTTCATTTCGGGGCATCTAATGTAAAGTTAAAAAGGTTTCCGTGGTAAGACGTAAAGATGTGCAGCTCTAAAATGTACCGACCAACTCAAATCAAAACATTAACCTCAAGGCGAGAGAAATTCTCAAATCCTTGCAAATGTAAGTAATTCAGAGAGACGAACATGTGCTGGAACTCACTTGGCAAACATCCAATGAGCTACTGCCCCAGCTATCACCATCTGTTGGCAGGACAGGATAAACTCTGAAGTCCACACCAAACCGATCAGGTAGAGCCACCACATGTACCGAACCCACGACGGTTCCATCTCAAAGAATGTGAATCCTAAAAAGCAGAAAGTTCATGTTCCCACAAGGTACACTTTCCCATAATTTATAGTCTTTTTTCAATCCCATTCATTTCCTTACCATTTAAATGCCCTTGTTCCAGCAAAATATGTCATTTCTGATCTGAATTCTCTGTTTTACAAATTCTTTTTTGAGACTGGTCAACTCTTCTTTTAAATCATCCTAAAAGTTATCAGTTACAGTTCATAAATTCTGAATCTTCATCTTCTTTCTCATCTCCAATTTTGGCATTTATAGCGTCGGGGTTGATTGCTCGGTCCACCTCCTCCATTCCTTCCTATCCCTTGCTAAGAATTTCATCTGCGTTAAACTTTTCCCCTTTGCCTGTCCTATTTCTCTAATTGTATCCTAGTAGCTCTTTCTAGGTCTTCTACACTACACAGAGGTAAATTTATTTTGAGAAGCTAACAGTACAACTCTATTAATCAAGAAATTACCCACCATTTACACAGCCTGAAGGTTCATTACATTGTCCGCAAGAGCCCGCAACTGCTCCCTATCCTGAACCAGAACTAAAAGATCCACACCCTCCATCCAAATTTTTCTTAAATCAATTTTAATATTATCCTAGGTATTCCAGATGGTCTCTTCCTCTTGGACTTCCTCATCTCCCCTATGTGTGCTACTAAAAATTACCAAATTTCCAAATCTTCAGTTCCGCCAACATAACACACTAAACAGAGGTGTAACAAATCTTCCCCGAACCTTACTTACGTTTGAGTCCAGACAGAGAGATGTTACTCAATGAGACAGACAATTTGAATGCTGAAGATGCGGACTGCGAATGGCTGATGTCTGGAATAAGTGACGGATCCACTAAAGGATGTAAGAACTCTGATCCGGGGTAATCTGAAAAGTACATCACGCGTTACACTCACTGACTTACAAAAATGTTGTAGTGATGATGGAGGCAGCAAGGACCTCCGAAACATCGATAAACTTCTACCAGACTATACGGTGCTACAACCCAGAAGAGAAAGTCAGCTTCATACTCACGGCCGTGAGAACCTCAAATCGTAAAAATCACGAGTTTCCACCGATTAGCACTAAAGTTCAGCTTGTCAGGAAATCTTATTAATCTGCGTATCGAGGATAGATTTACTTGACAAGCAATGACAACAGAAGTGATAAACAAAACAAGAGTCAAAATACAAAAATCATTAAATATTAAATTTTAATATCCTCAAAAAGATCTTAAGTAGGATAACAAACATAAAACCAAAAATTACAAAAAATTTATCTTTTTATCTACAATCGTATTAAGGCGAGCACTTACTTGAAGTTGCCAAACAGATAATCACAGATACCCAGAAGGCAAAAAAAACCATGAGCGCTATAAATGTTATGAACGGTTGAAGGAAAAGAGCTGGCAATGCTGCCAGACACTGTGCAGACTCTTCAAACACACGAGCCATCGAGCTGATACTCTTACGCACAGCTATCACCAGCAACAGGATTATAATCTGTAGTAGAGATAGAAACATATGAAACAAAGCTTCGCAAGCAATATATCAACACACGATAAATTATAATGGCCACTGGATTTACCTATCATTTTTAATTCATGGATGGATAAAACTGCAGTAGCTTTCGAGTTTACCGCACATTGTACCATACAAAAAACAGCCTTCACATACAACTAGAAGTACTACTAATGTACTATTGGCAAATGAAAACATGTTTATTTACAATTATTTATTATTTAGTGTTGTGTCTGACGACAGGTCCATATGAACAGGATCCTTCCATCCTTTTCTCGGACTGGGACCTGTTCATATACGTTCTTGGCAGATGATCCAGAACTGGTTTGCCATTGCCTTCTTCTGTGTGTGAATGGAGTAATTGTTGGGATGCCACGGAGGAAAACTCCGTGTTGCCTAGACCACGGCCTTGCCCAATACAAGTTATAAATTCGGGCACCACCGGGAATTGAATTTATATTTACACTATAAATATAAAATAACACCACAGATACCTGAACCACATCCCAAAGCCATGAAATATGTGAACACGCTCAATTCTCAAACTTTATTGTAAACGATACTTCAAATTTCAAATGTAGTATTGAACGTACAGATTTCAGTGGAATACCCATGTTCAACATATAAATACTTTTTCTCACTTAGAGTTCAATTACTATAATCTTAACCCTGCGGCCAGTTCCAATTCAGAATTAACTTGCGCAACTATGAATCCACATCATACATCCATGCCTTGAGAGGGATTCGAACCCACAATCCCAGCACGTGACAAGGCAAGATCCACGCCTTAGATTACATGGCTACCATAATGAGCAGAGACATTTCTTGATGCCGACAATTATACAAGCACATACAATAATTCGGCACAAAAAAAATTACCTACGCACGTTCAAAACAAATCAATTTACCGTGATGATCGTCGCCACAATAGAATAGACCAGGAAGGCACTCTCGTTCTTAACCGACTCCCTCAGCATTTGGCTTTCTGGTGTACTGTCCAACTGACGCTTTAAATCTGCGTATGTCCACCACAACACTCCTGTGCCAACTAAAAATCAGCCTCACTTAAAGCAAAATTCAGTAGAGAATCATGACAAAGACACGTGACTTAAAAATTAAAATTAAAAATACACTTAAGATGTCTTCAGGTTTGTGGCGCCATGTCATCACCCTGATGAAGGAGGAAGGAAGCAACTGTGAAACATCAATAAATGTCTACCAGACTACATGGTGCAACAACCCAGAAGACAGCCATCTACACACTCACTGCTGTTATAACCTAAAATTTCACTAAGAAGACAGTTTCTTCACGTCCATTTTCCGGTTTACTTATTTTGTCTTTCTCATTTAATTGGTCTTAAGGAAACGCGTGGTTGTTAAAAGTCACCAGATGAAATTTAAAATGAGAGATTTAAAGTTTTCATGGCAGTCAAAAACTTAAAAAAAAAAGTTTTTAGGGTAGACTCCAATGGCATACTGTACACACTAAATTTAATCAAAATCCATCCAGCAGTTCTCAATCTGAATCATGTGGACAGACAGACACACATGGCCAGCCCCGCACGCATTCCTTTCATGAGCACTGTCAAAAAATCACGCAAAACAACTATGAAAATGATGAACAAATGTTCAAGTTTTAATCTCGTCCTGGAAGAGGATCCTTATTATCCTTCAGAACATTAAAAGCACCAAGATATCCTTTTTACTCACCAACTGCTGTGATGCTGACAATTATCATGAATATCCACGCCACAAAAGATGCAAGTAGATGAAGAACGGCAATTACTATTATAGACAAAACTGTAACACAAAACAATAAAACACCTCGAAGCAAAGGTCATTTAACGAACTTAACAGAGCAGAGTCCCTCTTAATAAACTAACGTGACTAAACTGTTCAATAAGTTCCCTACCTTTCATGAAACCTGAAGGTTCATTACCTATTCACAGCAATCGATGCAAGTCCCTATCCCTAGTTTAAAAATATTCTGCCATGTCACACAGTGGTACCACCAGAACCATAAAATATTATCAATACCAAAGAAGCAGAACTTACCAAATGCAAGGAATGTGAGTCCCAATATTTCTCTCCATGTCGCATACAAGTCACCCAGCACTTGTTCGACTGTATCCCAATTATTCAGCACGGAAAAGACCAATTCCTTTACTGGTCGAGGTACGCATCGATTCAGCACTGGAACACTGTAAAAATGACTTATTTCAGAAATTCTTTGGAATAAATACTCTCCTCAACACTTAGTTCTCAGACACCCTGATTTATGTTCTTCTTCTACGGCTCTCCGGCTCGTATTCAGTCCATGGCCTCCTCAATTCTCCTCTTCCATTCGGTCCTTCTGTTAGGTCCGTCTGTCCGAGGCTTTGATCGAGGTTTCGAAACATCTTCCTTTTTTACGGCGCAAGGTTGTTAGCCTTGCGACCAACCCCCAACCTGGAGGACCCGGGCACCTGTCTTAGTCTGACCTCTCCCCCTCGACCAATCTGGCTAGGGAAGCCCTACCAGTAGCTATGCTACCACCATCATAGCTCTTGGGGTCACTGAGGTACACGAGCCCCACCGCCACGACAAGGTGCAGGTATATTTATGTTCTCATCAGGTAATAGATCATGTTTCACACCCATACAAAACAAGAGGAAAAATTACAGTATTGTAAATTTTGATCTTAAAGTTTTCAGAAAATAAAATGAACCAGGGTACCTCAGTCAGTATTGTGCCTTGGTAAAGGATTTTTCTTATAGTCACTACATACAGACCAAACAGTGGGGCCCACCCAGCCTCCTATCCACCGGGAACCAGGGTCCTTCTCCTGGGGTAAAGCTTGGCTGGAGGGTGGAGGTACTGTCATGAAGAATGAGTAGGAGCTATACCACCTCTTCCCAAAAGTGTCTCCATGGTGTGAAATGGGACAACTTTACTTTGCAGTAAGATAAAAGATGTTTAACAGTATACGTAGTAGCAAGAATTTTTCTAACATGCTTGTGCATATTAATCAGACTAGTCAAGTAATCACTTTAGAAGATAAAAGAACTCTACGCAAATCTTTTGTTTCGTGTATATGTGCACTGTTAACTCCGTAAATTTTCAATATAATTAGAATAAAAATTATCTAGTTTACCTGTCATAAATTGGTGTGGGCGGACAAGGTCCGAACTTTGTCTGAAGTACTGCACTTTTACTGTTCTGCTGCCATTCTTGACTATTCAAGTTAAAGCCATAACTAAGACAAAAGAACAAAATATTTCAAAAAGAAATTAAGTGAACTGTTAACGCTTTCAGTGTTCACGAAGGAAACTGTCTGTCAGCTATATATTAACCAGTTTTTGTTAAACTGACAGAACCCAATACTGTAGTTATATTTCATCTCTTGATGTCATCTTTAAAACTCAACATGCGCAAAAAGCATAAATGTTTATAATTTTTAATGTATTCTTGCACAAAAAATAATGCATTATTTTCAAGGTCATGTCTATCAGTTCAAGTTCCACCTCAGAACTAGTGAATATGTATCAGGTATATTTAACCACATATAAAATTAGTCTAACATAACCTCTAAACAAAGCTCAAATTGAATTCTATACAGATTGAATATGTATCAGGTATATTTAAACACATATAAAATCAGTCTAACATAACCTCTACACAAAGCTCAAATTGAATTCTATACAGATTTTTGTTCATTGGTCCTTGTGGTTAGATCTATTGTACATCCTTGGCTTTCAGGGTTTAGAAACATGGTACGGTGAAGCTATTCCAGCATTTTGACAAACATTACAGATGCCATCTTCAAGTTAAACATGTGGCAAAGAGAAGGAGAGAAACTTTTACATATGTCTCATGCTGGAAAGTGAATATCATGATTGAGCTAAACCCCATACATCAATTACAATTTTCTCAAAAGAAAACAACTACAGAATTTAACTTTCATTTGAAATGTATAGAGTGTACATAAGAAAAGAAAAATCTAATTAAGATCACAGTTATATCTCCATGAGTCAGTCACCAGATTATGTGCTTAAGAAATTCATCATATTGCCCGATATCAAAATGACTTTTAGAAATAAAAAAATGGAGTAAGGACTTACGTGCACAGAAGTGACCCAGTTCTCTCATAAAATTCCTGAACATTTGCAAAATTTACCAAATTATGATCAGGACACTGTTTAACACAAATCTTCAGTGAGTTTTGAATATCTTTAACATCCATATAAAATAAGTACCTGGAACACAAGAACGCCGCATTAGGTTTGCAACTTTCAGTTTACAGGTGTTAAAAGATACCCACAATGAGAGGACAAGTGTGACGCACGAAACGCGTAGAAATCAAACTCACCGTTTATCACTGGTATCAAGTCCTGATAATTCGAGACCACCCATCTTCTCGTTGTTTGGAACACCGCAAGTATTACCAAAACTGTCATAACCATTGATAAGTTTTAAAGGGTCTCCATACACATAAGCAAAAGCTGCAATATAAATCTGAAAACAAAATTTAATTTAGGTAGGTATTCATCGAAAACAAAAACATACCAAAATTAAATTATTCACTTAAATTCTTCGTGGCAATACAAATGTTTCCATGTTCAGATAGCACTGTAGCCTAAGCAAGCTTGCATGTCACACAAATCTCTTTACTGTTGATATCGGTCTTCTGAGTTGTAATGCTGTTACAACACAGATGACCGCTACTAATGTCTTCACTGCCATGGGAAAATTAATTCTCAAATCTCTTTATTGTCTGTGAAATGTCAGCACAACATCCTTTATTCTGTACCCTGACACTACTGAAAACTTCTTCAGAAGCCAATAGATGCTTAATGGTTCAACAAGTTCCCCACAGCTATAGAACCCCTAAGTACACAAGAACTCATCCCCTGGTCCATATCCTGAGGCAGATTAATCCAGTACACACCTTCAGATCTTATTTCTTTAAGATCTATTTTAACACAGACCTCCCACCTAAACTCAGGTCTCCCAAGTGGTCACTTCCATTTAGGTTTTCAGATTAAAATTAATTACCTCTCCCATGCATAATGCTTTATGCCGTCCTCTCATCCTCCTTGATTTACCCTAATAATATTTTATGAGTACATATTATGAAACCTCATCATTATTCCACCTTGTTTTCAAACAGACTATGTAAATAAAATAAAACTGATTAGAACTCTTGGTGAATCTGGCAGTAAATGCAAAACATGGTGACCCACCAATAATTAGTGATCATCTTCATCGTCAAGAACTACTACAGAAAGAAATTTACTTTAAAAGCACTTATTCTCCATTAAGCTTGTCTTTTTACAGTCATGTACTTACCATAACAAACCAAAACAAAATAAAGATGCACAGCCATAATATGTCAGTACAACCCCGAGTTGTATTCCCTTCGTTTCTAGCAGCAGTATCGGAGTCACTATTACAGCAGGACATATTTTATAATTCCTGTTAAAATGAAACACGTTAACTGTTACATTCGTCTAAATTTCACACAAGGCAAGAAACCTTCTTTGCCTATTACGCTACATATATTTTACATTTTAATTCGGCAAGACTCTTATCACTAAGAAACTGTTAACATTCAATTAGCACTGTTTAAATCTAGTTTGTAGCTAAATTTATTAACAATTTAAACACAGGCAATATTAACAGTATACCATGAAGTAAACACACCCACTAGCAAAACATACTCCTCAAAGTGTAATACCAACACTACAATACTAACAACAAATATAGCCCTCACGAATGGAATATGTTGGAAAATTCACCTGAGGCTCATCTCAATGCTCACTATTGACAGGTTCACCAACATAACGATAGGTAAATTAATGTTAGCGGGCAACTACATTATACATGCGGTCCGGTGATAACAGTTGGTAATAATCCAACTCAGCATCCAGTGCCGAGAGCTCATTCAGTAACGATGGTAACTACCATCCAACGTAACCAACACCTCCAAAAATTCGCAAACACAGCAAAGCATTTTACAAATCTGATTATTGTCTTTTGAGACATTGTGTAGGCTGGTAGAAAATGACTTTTCGAAGGTCCTTACTGCTTGCATCATCAGAGCAAAGCCTTGACCATATGGGCCAATTCCTTTACTTCCTGTATGTGCTGCTAGTTTCAATCTGTAAAATGTTTATTTCACTATAACCTACCCAATCACATTTCTCACAAGCATGTTAGGCCACCTCTTCTGGATTACAACACCATTTTACAAAAATGAATTTTAGGTTTCAATTGAATTATTCTGGTATTGTATTATATGACCATAATATGCTATAACCATCCTACTTTAACTTAAAAGGTACGTTTGAAATAACCGTATATTGTGAAAGAATTTTACCCTGATATCCCCTTCCACATAAATGATTGTCAAGAGAAAAAATGGACTAGTAACACTAAAAAAAAAGAGAAGTAAACAAAAAGACAGGAACTTGAATTACATGGTCATTCAGTAAGCACATCTGTATTATATTCACTGAAATATCTTCTTTGCTACCAATAAACTTTTTGGAATTGAAACACGTCACAAAGGATATTCCGTTCAAACCCATGTAACTTCAGATCTTAGTTTAAAAGCCAACAGATACTTGGCCAGTCAAGACACATCCTTCCATTTGTAACTGCTTCTTTATGGTGTTCAAAACAACTTCTACTGTACTTTAACCTGAGCCATATTAACACATTCCACATCTTCATACCATATTCCATGACGGCTGACAAAACATTATCATCATGTATACACCTACGTATCCCAAATGACCAACAAGTTTTCATTAAACATTTTTCAACGATACATAACTTGCGTCATTTTGATCTTTATCAGATTATCAGTGACCTACAACAATCCACATATCTGTCTTCAGCATTACAACAGATGACATAATGACACAGCATTCAAAAGACACGTCTGGAAAGTACTGTACGTGATGGAAGTATTTTCCTGGGCAAATATATGCTACTTATTGTGGAAAAGCAAAGCATCCAGCACACAGGCTGAACATAACAAATAAACAATTAGAAAAGGTTGTCAATATATTTTAAATTAGGGCATTCAGGGAGTAACAACAATAAAAGTGATTTTTATTCATGTAAATACATGTCATTATATATGATTTGTATAAAATGGGTTTACGTGATGTGAAAGCTGGGGATCTTAAGCACACACACACTTAACGTTAAGAGATTTATGACCGTAAGAGAAGTCAACAGAAATAAAAATAACAATCTACCAGAATAAAAATAGGCAATTATAGTTTAACAGAATTGTGCCTGTAAAATTTACGAAATTCCATACCTTTAATCTTAACACACCATTGATCTTTGCCAGTGCCATGTTTCTTAACTCCATGTTGACTTGTAGACAGTTACCAACCTCATATCTCACTTTTACCTTAAAGTATCTGCGACATAAGACAATTACTTCCAGTACACTCACCACTACATATGTACTGATGACTTCAAACTATTCTGCAAAGTGAATAATTTATTACAACACATCACAGAAACAGGGATGTCCCTACAATGTTACGCGCAGACGCATCTCGAGATAATTCTTTGTGCAAAATGACTTATTAGACACATCACAGGAACATGGAAGTTCCATGCTATATACGCTTTACTGCGTCTTCATACGACTCTTTGAACAGAATCATTTATTACACGAATCACATGAATGTGAATGCTTACTACAATGTACACGTAGATGTCTCTTCAGATCACTTAGTTTAATGAATGATTTATTACACACATAGCAGGAATATGGGCGCTCTCCGCTATGTATGCGCTGATGACTTATCAGATGACTTCTCTGACTAAATGACTTATTACATACGTCACAAGAATAGGGGCGTTCACCACTATGTATACGTAAATGTCTCTTCAGATCATTCTGTTTAGTAAATGATTTGTTACACACATCACATGAATACGGGCGCTCTCCGCTATGTACACGCTGATGAATCTTCAGATTACTTGGTTTATTGAAGGATTTATGACACAAATCACAGGGATAAGGACACTCATCACTCTGTACACGTTGAGGGCCCTTCACGTCACGAGGTTTGCCGAATGATACATTACAGTCGTCGCAGGCACCATGTATGAACAGATGTGTTTCCAGATAATTCTTTGTGCTGAATGATTTGTTGCACACATCGCACGAATATGGCCGCTCTTCATTATGTATGCGCAGATGTGTCTTCAGATGAATGCTCTGATTGAATGATTTATTACAAACGATACAAGAATACGGACGCTCCCCGCTATGTATTCGCTGATGTCTCTTCAAATCACTCTGTTTGCTGAAGGATTTATTACACGTATCACAACAATATGGACGCTCCCCAGTGTGCACACGTTCATGCATTTTCAGGTAACTCTTCAGAAGGAATGATTTATTACACACGACACAGGAGAATGGACGCTCCCCGCTATGTATGCGTTGATGTGTCTTCAGATGACCCTTTGCACTGAGTACTTTATTACAAATATCGCACGAATAGGGACGTTTCTTACCATAAAGGAGTTTATGTTCATTCACAGAAATCTGGTAAAAAGAAAAAAATTTATTAGAAATGATTTTCAATCATCATTTATCCTGTCGCGGATCCTTAAATATGTCCCACTGTATAGATAAGGACTGCACCAAAGTTACAAAATAACTGACTGACAATCTTCAAACTCTCACAGATCCCACAAATAATAAAAGGAATCAAAGGGCAGAGTTTAAAATAAAAACAAAGGATACTTGTTGGTTATCGGGACACAAAATGGGAGAGTCGAATATCTGGACTTGGATTGGACGGAAAGCTGTGCATGCGTATCAGTATCTGTAATGGAACAAATTGTGGCGCCGTACAAAAGATAACGGCGATATTTTCAAAATGATTCTAAAATCTATAAGCGAATTTTGGCCTCCGGAGACAGGCTGTAACAACAATTAACATCTCATGCATATCCAAATAAAATATAATAATTTGTCATTTATTGAAATAAAATATAATAACTTTCAAGTATATGTCATTTATCCACATACATTAACCTAACCTAACCTATTTTTAAAGCGATGTGTCCCGATAACCCAAAAGTACCAAACAAAGTTTTCTTTGGAAAAGATGGACTGTGGAAGGTTTCTGTGATCACGCCTGTCAGATAGCTATAAACTCACCTCAATTTCAGTCTCTATTACTGGACATGTTATCAGCAAGGGGTCTTCCTCTTCTGGTGCCTCAACTTTTATGTCAACAAGCTGATTTCCATAATCACATGTCTCACTACATGAATCAGGTACAACTTCCACTAAATTGCCGCAGTTCTGTAAAAGAATAATAATTATATCAATCATGACCGTCATATCTTACTATATAACATTCAGAACTTTCATTGTGACCATTTTGCACTGTATTAAACTCATAACAGTTGTTTTGCACATATTATTTTATAGAACTATTAAAGTACAGTAGAGTCCTAAATATCAAGGGCCCAATTATCTGTAATATACGTAACACCCAATTCAGATCCAGAAATATGATAGTGTTTTTAAAGGACTGGAGAAATACAGGAACAAGGCAGAAATCAATTATGAAGCTACAGAAATACTGAGTCATTACTGATCTTTCACAAGTCAAAAAATATTGTTCATACAATTGGAACTATTGTGAGCATTCAATGAACCGGATGTAACGTTATAAACGACCTATGCTGAACAAACAAACATGCACCCATAAGCATGCGCACATTCAAAAAGAGAGAGAGAGAGATCTGAAAAGCAGACTCACCTCAGGTCGCTCCATTTTTACAGAAAATGTAGATGGTATGTAAACACCAACTAAATCTTCCCTCAAAACATCCACAACATTTTCTACTGTGCTGGTATGTATTCCGTTAATTTTCCGCTGAAAAATTATAAATACAAGAAAAATATGTTAAATATAATTCTTCTATCAAATACATATGTAAAACATTCCAACTTTGTTCTAGACACTATCAAAGAGATACATGCATAGGATGAAAATTACAGGGACACAGTAAAAATGAAGCAACACAAATTACAAATAATGGAACTGTAATTAAATGTATAATAAACAGAATGAAACAAAACATGCAGCTTAACACGCTCTAGTGAAATCAGAAACGAGCACAAAGACTGGCACTTAATAACGATAGCAAATTCACAGTTTGGGCACATACAATGGCAATAAGACATAATGTTCCAAAAACCACTGTATATTAATGATTGAAAATGTTTAGACTCCAGTCACACCTGCCAAAGCAATTGCAAAAATAGAAAGGCCGTGGTCTAGGCAACACGGAGTTTTCCTCCGTGGCATCCCAACAATTACTCCATTCACACACAGAAGAAGGCAATGGCAAACCACTTCTGGATCATCTGCCAAGAACGTATATGAACAGGTCCCAGTCCGAGAAAAGGATGGAAGGATCCTGTTCATATGGACCTGTCGTCAGACAGAACACTAAATAAATAAGATGGGATGATGGAAGTGGTAAACAGCCCTGCACAGGCTTATGGGTAAATATCAGATTTATATATCCTTAATAAAAGTCTCAGACACACAAAGTACATCGGAAGAAAATAATTCACACTGTCGCCTAACTTCCTCTTTGCAGCAATTACAAGAGGGGAAGAAAAATATTCTAGTCCCACTGTAATGAGTTGTTACATCAATTGAAAGCCACAGTAAGAACGCACTAAACTCTTAATGTGTAAAACTATTCTTGAAGAACAGATAAAATGTTATAAAAAATACTTCTCCGAAATATTTAGTTTCCTTCAACAAGTAAATCCAAAGCTAAAAAGCATGAAACACTCACCAAACTTTCTTTCACAGCAGGGAATATTTCTTCAGCTCGGCGCAATATAATTTTTGGTACTCTTGCTGCGAGAGACTGCCGAATATTTTGTACATTTAAAATCTGTCCATCACACATGATGGTCTGTGTTTTGCATAAAAATGCCTTACAAAACCCTTGTGATACAGATTATAGTCTCTAACTTGGAATATTTACACCTGGCCTGAAAGGAAACACAGTGATTATAAGTTGTAAAAAGAAATGGTAGTTGTGGGTTTTCGGGACACATCGCTTTAAAAATAGGTTAGGTTAGGTTAGTTGTCATTTAGTAAAATAAAATATAATAACTTTCAAGTATATGTCATTTATCCACACACATTAACCTAACCTTACCTAACCTATTCTTAAAGTGATGTGTCCCGATAACCCACAAGTACCAAAGAAATTTATATATCAATTATGTAATGGGACATTCACTGTGCATTTCTATATATTTCTTACAACTTCAGTTAATTAAAACTAGACCATCAGTTCTCAGAATTGTTGGATCCACTAAATCCCAATGGTACTTTCAACCTACCAAATGATTTAACATTTAATAACTCTGCATTTTGTCCACACAGTGTATTTTTAGGTTACATATGATTCTCAGAATAAATGGACATTAATATTATGGACCAAAAAGCTTTTTGCTTATAACAATTTAAAGTCAAAATTCAGAAAAATAAACATGAGAGTACAAAAGTGATGCAGTAACAATACATGGTATGACTTGCAACAACTTGAATACTTAAAATTTTCAAGAAAACGCTCTACAGCCTGATGTAGTACTGTCCTTAATTCAAAAGCTGACAGTTGGTCAAGAACCATCCTGCCATTAGCAGGACATGAAGCTTCCTTAGTGTTCAAAACAACTTCTACAAGACAATCCTTAACCATATGAATATATTCCACATCATAATCCATGGCAGGTGACCTAAATAATACCATTCTATCTCCCAAGTGAAGTTCCCTGACTAAAACTGTTCACATACTTATATCTTGCCTGCTTGTTCTACATGGCCTTCACTTGAGCATCCTAATAACATTTAGTAAAGTTAACTAATAAATTCTTCAATAAGAAACTTTCTTCATTCTCCTGTTACTTCCTTTCTCTTAAGTCACAATTTCCTGAACAAAACTGCATTTTCAACGCTCCAAATACATGTTTTTCCTCTTAAGTAGAGTCAATGCCCCACACTTATTTGAAATGACATACTTAACTGCAGTATTGTACAGTGTGTTCACAGACAAATTTGAACATGCCCATCATTTCCCAGCTAACAGCATGAACTCCATGACTCACTGCCAAGTGCAACAAGATTTTCCTCATACAAGTCAAGCCCTATAAAATAATAAAATCAACTTACCTGTTTTATAAGATGTCTTGAAAATGCTGTCCCCGCCTGTACAAAACCTCAATACCATTCAAACAGGATGAAATTCACCCAAAGTTCTTCTTACAGAACTTTAAAAAATTCTCTTTGTATATTTTCCTTTAACTCTTCTTCCACATGGGGGTTCATTCTGCAGAATGTTTATGTCTGCCATGCGGTTCCAAAGCATGAACTACAGTCGCCTTATACGGTTCAAGCTTAAGCAGCTTTGTTGCTTTGGCTGCTGATGATTTCGAGATGCCAGTCTCTTCTGCAAGGTGTCTCAGTGATTTCTGTGGTGTGTGCTCTAGCCTAGCCTTTATTTCACTTAGTTTTTCTTTGGTGAGCACACGACACTTTTTAGTAGGTTTCCTGTCCAGAACTGACCCAGTAGATCTCACTTTATAAATAAGTTTATGTATGCCTGTTGTACTTGGAACTGTGACCCCAGGAAATTTACGACAAAATTTTCTCCGACACTTTCTAGCAGAACCACATTTCACATATGAGTCATATAGAAAAACACGTTGTTCGACAGTATACCGAACCATATCCACACACACAATAACCAGTAATGAACAGATATTAGACACAGTCAAACTGTTTTATGAATAATTTAACAGCACCTGCTGTTAGCACTTGGCAGTGAGTCATGCAGTTCCTGCCAGGAGCCAGGAAGTGACAGCTGCATTCAAATTTTCCAGTGAGCTGAAAGATTCTCAGCTGAAGGTCAGACAGCAGAAAAAGAATAATTAATATAATACCAATCTATAGCTATATCACAGGATAAATTAAACAAACATGCAGAACTGCAAATATAAATCAAACCCTCCACCACCAAGAACAAATCTGTAGGTACATGTGTAAATAATAGTATAATCACTACTTACATATTAACAGGTGACTGAAACGTGACGGCTTAAGGATTTTCAGTGCTGCTTTGTGTCAGTAAAAATATGGTAAAGTTAATCCTTAACTAACGTAAACATAATACATAAGGGAGTATTCACAAAATTAGTCTTGCACATAGTTCACAAAGAAATAAATGATCATGAATACTGAGGCGCCTATTTTGTCGTTTCTTAATAACAGCTTTACACTTCAAATAAAAATAACAACAGCTCACAAACTGCAGATACTTGATGCTTCTGCCTCAAGTTCTGACACAGCCTTCCAAAGTTTCTTGGCGAGCACATTACTTATATTATATTTTAAGGGATAGGGATTCCTAGCCCCTGACACAATAAATTTTACTAGCATAACCAAAGACAACATAACCTAATGTAGAATGTTTACTGACGCATAACACCGCTACGGTGATCCTTTCTAAGTCATGTTTGGGTCAACCGTTTATACAAAAAGTACGTTATAACAATATAAAGAACAACACCAATGGAAACGTAACTATGAAATACGATGATTAAGCATCGGAATTGAAGACCAAAACACTGGAAGTAACACAACAGTTCAATGTTACAAGGTCACTCAAATCTACAATACCAAACAATTACACTTAATGAAACAAAATAAAATATTTTGAAGCAAGTTACGACAAAAACCATGAAATTAGTTAGGTATAATACATGAAAACAGCACTGTAGAGAATTTATTCTATAACTTTCACAACAGGAAATGAAGAACTACCACCCGTCACACTACCAATACCACAGAAAACATCAACCAAAGATTTCCAAACACATATCAACCAATTTCATCATAGGAACTACTACCACGTCACAGAAACTGTATATTAGCGGAAGTTACATCGTCTATGGTACCCCAAATGGTTATTTATGCATATTTTAAGAGATGCACAAAATGTGCATAGTACGAATTCTCTTTTGTAAGTCATAATGGAGTTCATCTTGGCTGTACTGCGTCAGGGATAACACCATTTTCAACAAAGCACAGACAATAACTTCATGTATAACAAAAGTGCAGCAGCAGTTTTACTTTCGGTAATCTACATTGTAACATCTGTGCACAAAGTGCGCGTTTTATCTCGTTAAGTCTCTATTAAATACCATTCATGGATGACTAAAGGAGTCAAGGGAAAAATGCTTCATGGAAGAAAATTTATCACCAAATGGGCGCTAGCGAAATTCGAACTCCTCCACACAGCGACGCGTATTGCCGTTGTTGTTCTTCTTCTCCTCCTCTTCCAGCTCTACAGTCTACTGTGTACTTTGGCTTCCTGTAGAATTTACCTTAAAAAGAGCAAAATATGATTTCACATTCCAAATAAAATTGTGCCAACTTTGCCTTGGGCGATGTAAAAGGTACCACATCATGTTCTGTAAAAAAATTATATTGTGTACTGCATACTATATAAAAACTAAACTAACAAATATGTATATTGTGCGCTATTCATTGACATAACAATCTAATCGAATCGAAAGTATCGAATAATTCTATTGCTACAAACTACTGAAATGTTCTTGTGTTTGAAATCGATCTAATGCATTTAATCCGTCTACAACACACCAAAAACAACGGAGTTTTTCGCTTTGTTCATGCAGAAGGCAGTATAAGGATTTAAACATTTCGATATTAGAACACGGGACTTGTTAAAACGCGCATCACCATTCTTCACTGTTGTCAATCGAAGTACGAATTTCTATGGACTAGGAGGCTGTTGCTTACCATATGCTAATTACATATAAGAACAGAATCCCACGGAGAATCCTTGACAAGCCGATAATCGCTAAAACTGATTAGAAATCTCCCCTCTTTTTTTATGGTACCCCAGAGCTTCATTTGTATTCACAAGAGCCTACCATTGGTCCTCTTCATAAAGTAGAATAATCCAGTCCAAATACTCCCAAAATTCGTAATATGCATTTTAATATTATTCTCAACTAAACCCCTGTGCTACTAGCCATACATTTCGTTTCAGGTTAATGGTTTTGTATTATACAACTGGGTAGCCAGCTGGATCATAATGGGTGATACAGGTTACTTTCCCATCATTGCATAGATTTATTTATAATTGCAATTTTCAGTCACTTCATCCCTCATTCAAAACTGATGGGTAGCTTAGAATATCACAAGACTATTCTTAATGGAAGGGATCTATAGTAACATGGGAACAGGGCTGTGATAGGACAGAAGATAACAGAATGTAAGGAAGGTAATGTATCTCTTGGAAAATAGTGTGTGTCAAAAAAGGAACAGGAAAAGGCAAATGAAATGTTCAGTGTTCATAGCAATGAAAGTGTGGACTGTGATGTGTGTTATACTGTAAGTGGTTAATAATGCTCCAGAGGAATCTACAATCTCGATCTTCAGGGTATCATAGAGACAGTATATCCTCCAAGACACTGGTAATGACTTACAGAGACCTAACCTACAAGACCATGATCAACAAAAAAGGTAATAACAAAATGCAATATAGAATATTAACACGTCTACAGCTTGGGGATTTGTGTCATTAGCAACTCTCTGCAATGCAGTCCAAATGATTAATACATTCCATGGAATAAAGGGTCTCTTAAATATGTCTGATAATTTTGAAATATTTTTTACTCCATAATTATTTGTGTCACATTTTGGTAACAGCACATAATCAAGTGTTTCTTAGGCAGATTTATGGCTATTTTAATTGCATATTCTGCTCAACAACCTATTTTAAAACCCACAATAGTGTGAAATATAATATTAAAATTTTAAGGTAATAATGTATGACTGAAATATAAAGGGCATAATTTGCATAAAATAGTGTTGATATGAATGACTTTTATTTCAAGACAACACTGTCAACCATTTTGAAATCTATTACACATTGAATTACCATTCACTCACTTGAAACTTAATTAAACCTAATAGACTATAAACTGCATTATAACCATTTGTATCATTTTGGAAGTCTTAACTGAAATCAGTAAACATCAATATTAATAATAATTACAACAGTTTCTTAAAAATGTTTTAAACACAATATCTAATTAAGACTGAAAACATATGAAAGACATTATTTCAACCAATAGGTAAAATATGTACCAGAGGTAATTTTACCAACACAGTTCTTCCTGAGATGGTATAATGACACAACTCAAGTCTATTCATTTAATGATCCGTTATAACAATACATGTTCCTTCTTTTAATGGGAAACAAAAAAAAAAAAAAATGAACTGTAAACTTGATGGTAAAAACATAATATCAACACGTCACATAAAATACATGTATAACCTTTATTCCAGACTGCAGTCATGCATTGTCTCTAGTGAAAACCCCTACAAGTCATATCAAGACAGAAATCTTCACAGCACAATAAACACGCTTTTTCTTCTGCAGTGTTACATATTTACATGTTCACCACAAATAATCCTACACTACAAACCACAGAACACTTCAGTGTCTACATATTTCATTGTTCTGAAGTAGCAAAATGCTGTTGCTAACGTATGGGCTAAAAGAAACGAGAACGTATATACAAGAAAGTACTTCTGACAGGAGGCGACACACAGGAACTGATTATTCGCTACAGTAAAATTACACGAGTCTTAAGAAAAAAATACTATGCCGTTAATGACTTGTCCCAACTCCACGACAGCCATTTTCTCAAAATGTCATTAACAACTAAAATGTTTCTATTTATAAATCTTGTTTCTCTTTCCCGACCAAAATAGGCTTAAATTTACTTGGGTTTATTTACGGAAAGAAAACAGTATTTCAGATCTGAAGTAAAATTTTTTTTCCCACGACCAAGAGAGTACAATGAATAGGAATTTCGTATTTCAGGTAATCCAATAAGAAATTTAATATTGTCTCGTGTACACTCGCATTAATTACCTGAAATAAGGCTGTCAAATTAACTACAACTAACATCATTAACACAAATCTCACAGAATTACAAGTCTCAAATTTGTGTATGTGTACAACTCTTGTTTATTTATTTCGTTAACATACACATTTGGAACTACTAAAAAAAATACATACACAAAAAAAGACAAATCGTCTTTTTTAATTTTTATTTATATGTAATGCATCGGAAATGCACGATTATCATATATTTATATAATGCATGACATTCTATACATTATGATACACAATTTCTCATTAAACTCCTGTTTCTCTCACCAACCACATTTTGCTCTAGACAGATGAATATATTTTTTTTTATATAAATAATTTCACTTTAACAAACTAAGAAGTGATGAACATATGAAAAAAAAATGTAATAAGTCATTTGCAGGGGACAATATTCTGTACTTACAATTAACAGTGTACACGTGCCATAAATAACATTTGGTAGTACATCGGTGACTAAATATCGTACAGTGTCTAATATCCTCCACATGGCCGACTAATCAGTCATACATTTATTGATCCTGTAATAGTGAAGGTGATAATAGCCCCTTATGATTTATTAAACAGTAGCATAATACAAACTGAACGTAGATATACGTTTGTGACAAAAAACACAATGAACGAACTAGTTTTTTACTTATTTCATCGAGAACCGCCGGATTATTCCAATTTTGCCCCCCATCATACGTGTATATTCTGCAATTAAAAATTCTCGTAACAGAATGCTCTCGGCATTATGATTTTGCTACCAAGAGTTTTGAAAATAACGCGTTCCTAACTTTGCGAAACCCATTATATGGACCTCTTTTTAACTACGGGAAACCTACGATTCAGTTCGATAACATTATATGATGTAGCTGCATATTGAAGCATATATATTTTTCTCTGCTATTTATAATGGCAATTAGTTGACAATGCTATCGTATCCCAACCTGTAAATTATCGGTTTTATATGATGAGACGTAATTATTTTTTATCGACATCACAATATTGGAATCACTGTCAAAATATTGTTCTGTATGTTCAAATTTTAACATTCATTCACTTACAGAATATATTTATGTGCGTCGATGCATTCTATTTCTTTCCACGCCCTCAAGTGTATTAAAAGACACAAGATTTGTTAAGTGCAATGGGAAACAGTATTACACAACAAAATTTGTCGTAGTTATAATATGTGTTCAGTGTATTTGGATTTGCCTTATATACGTGTAAGAATTATGTAGCTGAAAAACATAACCTAATTTGTTTATGAATTTTAATGTTCCTATTTTCAGTGGTTTAGGTTTTATGTTACGGCAGTTAAATTCACAAAGCCCCCATAGACATATTAACATTTTTTAATTCACCAGAATCACAATAGATTTGCATCTTTCTTGCTGTAAATGTTTTACCGATAACATAGCCCTTTAGTTATCACAGATAGTAACAAACACAAGTGGGAAGTATGTCTATCTGAGCAGAGAATTGACTTGACCTTGAAAAAAAAAAGTACCCATTTGCATATGCATGAACCCACATCAACTTACAGTACAGAAAACATCATCTGAGTCTCAGATCTACATTAGTTTTCCAGCTTTCTTGTGATTTTAGTATTTATAATTAAGTATATTAATCAAGTCAATGGTAACACACCATAGTATCAGATATCATACAGATCGCTGGAATAATGTGAATATTTTTAGTAAGGGGTATTATTTTAGGAGTGTTCAACATAATTTCATGGCTTCAAGGTCAAGTCAATTCTCCGCACAGACAGACAGTCGTAGCTGTGGTGGGGGGTGGGGGTGGTATCAGCAGCAGCACAAGCGTCATGAATATAGAAGGCAATCTTTTAATTATAAAGGTTAGAGCAAATGAGACTTCGAATTTCTTCTCGGGGCACTCGCGGACACAGAAACAAAGCCTTAAACTTTCACATATAATAGGAAGGGGCATGAAAATAAACATTATACTTCAGTATGCTGGTGCTATATAATTTATTCCCATTAACATGACTGCAACAGCTCACAGTACAAACAAACAAACAAACAAACAGCAGTCCTTGTTCTAATGTATAAGCAATGGGAACTGTTAATTAACATAACTTCCACAATGCAGTTAGAAATTACTATTAAACAAAATTTATAATTCATTATGACTGATCAATCAGTCAGTTCAAACTAGTACATATTTCTGAACACTAGAGGAAGCCTGCTACCTCATTTACATCGTCGATACTAAGTGTTTAGCAGGTACTAACAAGACCGTTATGAATGTATTATGGTATTAAAATTATCTTACTGTGTTGTGGCTCTAAAGGTTTGCGACCGTCACGGGATTATTTAATTAAAGTCCTCTCTATATCGAACAGACATAAAAATTTCGAAGTCAGATTTGCGCCTATCTTCGGGTAAAAGGAAAGATTGTCTGTGGAAACTTTCACGCCTTTCTTTACTTGACACCACGTAAACATCCAAAGAAAATATTCCCGCAATTATTTTATTGTCTATCAAAACTTGGAGATCTTAAATTGTCACAAAATGTTCTTTATGACCTAAACAGAACTAAATTTTAATGTATTTTAAACAATCTTGATGAGAGACTCTCGGACTACGAGCCGCGTCAGGTGGCTGAACGGTGAATGAACCATTTCTTCCGCCAACGTTTCGAGAGCAATCTCTGCTCTCGTCCTCAGGGCTGCTGTGTAACAAATCCGGTCCTCCATGGCGTACTCGCCGATGGGAACCCGGCAAACGCGCTACAGAAGACGAGATCTGTAATGCAGCAGCCCCGAGGACAAGAGCAGAGATTGCTCTCGAAACGTTGGCGGAAGAAATGGTTCATTCACCGTTCAGCCACCTGACGCGGCTCGTAGTCCGAGAGTCTCTCATCGACTTCAGTCGCTGCGAAAGTTTCACTTTATTAATCAATCTTGTCAGGATCTATACAGACTACGATATAACACTTGCAAATAATTCCGTGACACGAGCTTGAATTCAAAAATAAAAATGAGATTTATACAGTACTGACTGCGCTTGTACGTAGCGTAACCACAAGAAGCACGGCATAAGCAACGCGCGTCAGAATGGAACGACAATTTGTAATGCGGCCTCGGTTATGCATTTTTATATATACGTTTGCGTGATATTTTCTTGCAATTATACGATACAAGCCAAGTCATAAATGGCACAGCAGTTGGAATGAGTACAAGAGGGTTCACAACATAATTTTACATGACCACTTCATGAAGACATTTGAACCAAACTTGTTCTACATTAGTCAACCAGCAAGATAGTAAATTTAGGCTTCATTGTACTTCCCAATGGAAAGTTGTCTCAGTATTTATTATTTCAATGGCTTCTGAAGGTTTAGGTTAAAAAACACGCACTTATTCTCATAACTGACAAAACAAAGTCCATATCGTCCTTTCTTCGGATACCAGTTTTCTTCTCCGTAAACATCTCCTAATATACATATATATATAATACATATTCACCAAAAAATTTTCAATGTCCGTCGTCTCAAACCTTTCACAACCGAACCATTTAGTCAATCCCAAATTCTAACGGTCCTCAATCCTCCCTAATTCGACCGTGGTACGTAAATCATAAATTTTAAACTTTCATCATGTTGGCTATCTTCGTTGGGTTTGGTCAAGCCACGACCGGTTCAGGTGGATTCAGCTCACAGACATGCTGTTCACCTGTTGCTGCCGATCCGGCAGTGTCCATCGGTTCGTCTCCGTGGGTGCGACCGCCCGCAGGATTATTCTGGGTGGATAGGGACTCCGACTTCGCAGACCACTGCGTCACGGTATAAGGAGCCGAACGCGCCTCGCGTCGGGCTCGACGACGAGCCCTCCTCTCCTCCATGATGAGACGGAGTTGTTCCATCTTTCCGCGAGTGGCTTGATTCTCCTGAGACAGGGTCAACGATTCCTCTGTCGACAGACAATACAAATAATTAATACCAGAATGTAAACGCATTGAGATGCGAAGTAGAAGTTCTCGAACCCGTTGGAAGATGCTGCATTGAGATAGAAAGTGATCGTTAAATTGTCCAATATAAGCACGTAGAAGGTGCAGAATATATCTGGAAGAGAGAAACACGCTTACCCATGAAATCAATACTGTGTCCAGACCTGCCATCAGCAGATGCCAAATTACCGCCACCGGAACCACCTGACTTAGCCGGACTACCACTCGAGGCTTCCAAGGTGATGGTATGACCCTGCCGGGCATGCCGGCGATACTGAGGGGTGGCACAAAGCAGATCATTCAGAATATGGATTATGGTGCTGATGTCTCTCTTTGGACGTCCAAATCTGTCTTGTAGAGCGGGATTCAAGGTTCCTGAAACACAAGATGTGCCACAAGAACGATGAAAAGGCGGCTTTAGTCGCAACTGAAGTCAACGGGATAAAAACTAATTATGAAATTATCTACCTCCTAACTCCATACGCGTCACTTAGCAGAGAAGAGCCCATGATTAGACTTACCTTAAGCTACTTCAATCAACGCTCTTAACGTCCATTTTAACGCCGTCATCCTTCGACACTCGAGCGATTTCCTCCTGAATTTTTCTTATTGTACCTCCCCCCCTCCCCCCCACGTGAGTGTCCTCTACATTTAGATACTCAAATTACCCTCTTCAGTAAGTTTTCCCATTCGACGACAACTGTGCTTTTTATTCTCCAATCAAAGACGTTTCCTCGTCCCTTCATTGGCATTATGGGGTCTGAAAGAGTTTTCCTCCATACAATCTTCTGACAGTTCAATTCCCAGTATTATCTGCCACAACTTATTTCTAGAAATAGAGTCAAATGCCTTTTCAAGATCAACATAAGTCCAGCTGAGTTTCTTTCAAGTTTAAGGACATCACTGTTTTCTACGTCAGCGACTAGTGACTTACAGATGTGAACCCAGAAGATTCCCCACTTTAAATTGGCCTCGTCAGAATCCGTTCTTTACATAATCTCATCAGAAAACATCCTAACCATACCTGAGAATGTGCCTGAATAGACTCCCTTTCCATGGTGATGCATAGACTCAATTATGGCACCCTGGCGACGAGCCCGCGCACTATCCTGAAAGTACCAAAGGCAAGAATATAATGAGACATCATTCGCAGAGCCAATATGACCATGAATACTCCAGCACGCTAAAATGGAACTAAAAATCACAGAATCTTATATAACAACATGATAGTGTTCGAGTCCCAGGGTGGAACGTTCGTGTTAACCGTGTCAGCCTTGCTAACACTCTGAAAGACGAAAAATAAAAAGTCTTCTGTCTTACTTCCGTGGTTCGATGCTACTTCACACACTGAAACACAGCATAAATGATAACAAAAAAAAAATACATCTTTAGCCAGCCAAGCGTTGTTGACTAACGATGCACTTTATTTGATACGATCTGCTGTGTTCCAGTGTATGGAATACCACTGAACCACGAAAGTAAGGCCGGATACTTTATTTTCGTGTTATTCCTTGATTTCATCGGACCAATCGAAGGGAGGTCCGATTAGGTCGGTATGGAGAGCCGCTAGACATAAAATGGCGTAGTGGCACGGCTGTAATGCCGGAGGGTACTACCACTTGGGGCCGAGCAGTGCAGTGACCACCAACGCTGCGTGTGGGACACCTGAGGTAATGATGTTCAACGAAAACATGACTTACAGAGTATGTATAAATGACAACCAAATTTTCTCCCTTGAAGCTGAACCTCGTATAAACAACATTTAAGAATTCAGTCCGTACCGCGAAGAAAACACAACGCTTCACCGTTACGAAGTTCAACTGGTTAACGCTGGTTAAGGAAATAATAGCTGTTTATTCTGAAAATCACAAGAAACCCCACAAATATACACGTTTTATCTTCTTAAAAGAAAAATTGTACGGACAAATACTCGTTCCTGCATTATATATAAATCGTACACTTTTGCTACAGGCGATGTTACGTCAGCGTGGATAAAATTATGGGAAAGTGCTCCTAACCCAAAGTCGCGAATAGCCTCCACGGTCCACGTTTGCCAGTAAACGTTCTTGTACATTCACTACCTACGCTTATTTCTTGTCACGTGAACCCAGTTCAATGCCATAACTTTGCTACCGCAAGGAATAGTTCTAAAAGAAGATGTCGGTTCAGACGACTCTTTATAAACAATTTCTGTTAAATCAGAGGTCGCAAATGTTTTATCCAAGAAGACGTGTTGCTAAATCTCCCTTTGTTCGTGTGCGTCATATTGCTTTCAAATACGTACAAAATATCGCTAAGAAAATGTCATAATGGTATAAACAACAATGAGACTTTTTAACTTGGCTGTCAGAAGCTCAAACTACCTCCAATAATGGGATGACTAATGAATTATAAAGGATAAGGTAGGAAGCTATGTGGCCTATATAAACAAACTAATATCAGAAGAAGAGAATCGATCTTGTTGTAGTTTTAAAAACAGCCGAAAGAGGAGCTGGTTGGTTACCTCAGGGTATTATGGCGTTTCACAAAAATATCAAACGCAAAGTTTACAGCACGGGATATACAGATGGGAACTGTAGAAAGTTTGAAAACAATGCTCGTCATTTCGAAATATTATTTTACACCATTCTTACTTTCATAACGCCCCCAACAACCTGCCCGCATGTTAAACAAATGCTAGCAAGTTAATGTCTCGTGACACCAGGTTACCAGAACACATTTTTAAGGTCATGTAACAGACACTTATAAGTGTTATATAAAGTATTATATAACTTTCGGGATAGCCCATAATATCGAGGACCTTATGTTGTAAATCACTACCTTATATCGACAGACAAAGGTTGAAAATATGGCGCGGTAAGTCTCTCACGGGGGGGGGGGGGGGGGAGTTTCCACGGAAATCACAGATATATGGACGAAAGATGAGAGCAAAAGTGTTGCATGATGCACCACATCCCTTGCTGTGGCAGTTTGGAAGTAGGCAAACGAAGGTCACGAGGCCAAGAGAACTGCAAATCAACAGGTCAGTGGCTAGAGCTACCAACCTGATGAAAAAGTTACTAAGCAGTTCCACTGATATTTATTATATTTATAGTTCTTTTGACGACATTTTTTAAGTAGCTCAGACTGAGCGTCGAAATGAGAGTATGATAGTGAATAATGAATTGGAAAGGATGTGGAAGGAAGCGGTCGTAGCCTAATTTATACCAGTCTCTGTCAATGTCCGTACTCAAAAGCGGAAATAGCATCACGAATTTTGTCCAGTGGTAACTAAATACACGTATCACCTACTTTACCATTCAATAACACTTCACTTAGATTTTTGGACATTAGAAGAAATTACATGTTTTTAAATACGATGTTATCAATAACACTTTGCCAGTAGAAAAACACAAAATCTCGTAATATTTTTGTCTATTATTTCACACAAAAAATATTACTTGTTTCATTCACTAAAACACTAACTTGGATCTTCTGACGTTAGGATTGGAACTTTTTTAATTTATGTAAGTGATTTAACACTTACCAACCTTTCCGATTTAAAATAATTTATACGCTTTAAATCTTCACCGCCGTTAAAACCTCGAATCTCATACGAAAAATCTGACTGACCTCAAGAAAACAGAAATGACGAAATAGTAGCACCCTTTAAATCATAGTGGTAACTATATGTACCACATACTTTAACACTAAGTAACTGGATACTTTACCAACAGACTTTATTTGTGAGTTTCATTTGTTTCACATTGTAAACAGCGATTATTTCCTTAAACAGCGTTAACCATTTGATCTTCGTAATGGTGAAGTGTGGTGTTTTCTTCGCGGTACGGGCTGGATTATTATATAATATTCAGACGAGATTCGGCTTCTAAGGGTTACGAATACATTCAATTACTGGTTGAAGGTTAACATGATGTGGATATAATTCAGAATATGGAACTTTACACGTGATACAAGAGACGAGACAGGTGCTTCGGCCTAGTTCGGATTCTAGTCGTTCATTCGTGATTTAAAATGGCCGGCCCACTTGCAGATCCTGTTAACTGAATCTTTTACCGTGGCAACCCGCTACGCCGGGTATGAACGCAACGTGAAGCGGATCATGGCCTACTTTGACACTCAGATCGCAGGCATGTCTGCCACCGACGATGACGGCATGGGTCTGAAGTGGCTAGAAACAGGATGACAATATTAGAATTGGGTTCACTTCGCCCGCCGTCTACTTGACTTGAATCACAGCCACGAACGAAACGGAAACTGGAAGAATATTGTCCCTTTTTTTGGGGCTGGCACGTGTGGAAGTGAGCCTCTGAAGTTGGCGACATGTTCCTTAAATCCACCGCCACAAGATGCCAGCACCCAAAACAGTAATAATAACGAATCAACTATATATACCACCTGATTTAACAACCAGTTTGTCTGCATTATGTCTACTGATTCTAGACAAGACTTCGCCAAATTTCTCAACAACGGTTCATAGTACAAAGAAATAACTTACGTAAAAAAAAATTGACAGGAGGATAATATTACAAGATCGATTCGGTATACTCACTGGAGTACGACATTCAAAAAGTGTTCTTAACGCCATATAACTTAGGTAGTTACTGCACTTCTATAATCCTAGGTCATTGTTGCGTCGAAAGGTATTCTTGCACTGTGATATCAGGTCAATATCGTACAACAATGACTTTTGGTCGCTCCTGCAGTAATGTGATCCGAGGTCTCATTGTTGTACAATGGATTAAAGAATTATTACGAAAACCGCTAGAGACAAGTGGAGGGGGGGTATTGGGTATTCTTCGCTCACGCTAGAACGACATGAAAACAAAAGATTCTATATAAATAGGTTTTGAGGGTGTGGACTGAATTCGATTCCCGAGAGAGACTCTGCCCACGGACTTTTGTTAAAAAAAAACAGCTGGCCTAGGCCACACCGGATATTTATTTGGTATTGTGTAAACACAGAACACACGAGATAAATGATAATAGAATCTAACTTAACCCTTTCCGTGCTACGTGTAACACACGAACCCTCCTGAAGGTACTTTGCATTTTCGTCGCATTTATCTTTAACCATCAGTCAACTGTTTCTTCAACAATGCGTACTCACGAAAACGTTTCTTCGAACTACTTATAAATAAACAGCCACAAATTTTTTATCAGCTGCATTTTATACACGATAAAATCCATTGTTTTGCGAGTGTTTATGAAATCGAACTCGATGTCCTGGTGGATGCGGGGGGAAAGGTGTCCGTGAAATGTTTTAAGGAACCATTTCAGCATTTGCCTGGAGAAACAACAGCGAATCTGTGAGCCAAAACTGGAACCCAGTGTTGGTAGAATACAAAGTGCTAACCACGGCGAATATATTCTGGTTGTTAGGTACTCAGCTGACGAGCCCAAGTTGCAACACTGTCCCTGATTACCACAGGTCCTTGAATCCTCACTCGATTCCCGAACACCGAGCTTCACGGGCGTTGCCCCTCGAGACCAATTATACGATGTGAGGGGGCGGAGTGGGGGACTCCTAGGGCGGACGATGGTAGGGGAGAAATCCAGGGCGTGGTCCGCCATGATTCCACGGGGCCGTGGGATGGGTTGTAGGACGCGGAGGGCAACTAAAAACTACGTAAAACCCTTTTTACAATCGCCGATGACGAAGTATCTTTAAAAAAAACATTTTTCTATACCGAAATCGTCAGAGTGTATTTACAGGTCGAAAAATTGGATAAAAAGAAACGCCTACAGACTTTTGATGTGGAATATTCTGTAAGGATCAAGATGGCGCTGGAGAACTACATTAAGAAATATATTAGCGTCGTCGGGGGAGAGATGGGGGGTTAAGATGGACAAAGCTGGTTTGCGTCATGTCGGGTTTTGACCTCGTGGCAGTTGCCACACAAATTTGCGTGTTTCAAGGTCACAGCAAAATCTCATCGACGAGCGAGAGAATTCTTTCGTGGTCTTAAAGCATTATAGTTAACTGGAAATTGTCTACTCACCTCGGATTGATCAGGACGGGGCGTCAGCACTTCCGATGAGAGTTGCTTTAGCGTCTGTGTGAGGTTCCGGGACGCCTCCGCCAGGGCGCGAGTGTCTAGAGTAGGTTTAGCGGAGCCTGTCGGTTCGCACTTGCAAGTGGAGTTTGACGACGTAACTGTTTGAGACGTCGACGATGTCGTAACAGCGTTATCCGGCGTAGTCTGTGACACTGGTATTTTCGTGTTTGACGTATTACTACCAGCAAAAACACTATTTAAATTATTTGTGGCATTTTCGAGGGATTTCAAAGGCGACTGCACTAAATGTTGAACTGTATTATGGGAAGATTGTGACGTGCTGGAAGACTGAGTCACTTCCGGCTCGCCAGAATTTGACGTCGAAGACTTGGTGGACGCAAATGGCCGTGCTTGAAGCGACGTGGAACTTGACGAATCGATTGCCGCTATTTTATGAGATATCTTCTGGCGATGACCGTCGGCCGGCGTGGAATGAGAGGCGTTCTTACCACATGGCGAGACTGACGAAAGCGAATTTCTCGATGACACTAACAGTGGACTAGTTGAGGCAGCTGAGACGCTGATCTGCGAGGTATTATTAGATTTAGAACACGTTTGCGTTGCTGGATTTGGGTTATGTCGTCGGGGAAGTGTTGAATCTTTGATATTGCTACATCTGCTATGTGAGCTAGGCTCGAGTGTGGGCGAATTACAAAACGTGGGATTGTTAGGAGGTGTTGAGGTCGTCGCAGGGAGGATGGCAGGATGTGTCTGGAGAGACGACGAACCATTTGTGGAGGTGGTACTGGGGTTCGCGTTAGAACTCGTGTTTGCTGAACGGCGAGATGAACTAGGAGTCACTGTGGACAATTGGAGCTGTATCAGCATCATGTGCTCGCCAAGCCGCATCGTGAGGTTCAAAGGCGCCTTCCCAGATAGGAAATCATTCACCTGAAACACAAAACCAACTGCGTTAAATCCGTGAGGTTCTCTGCGTTTTATTAACTCCCTGTCCGTGACATGAGACGGCGGCGAGGTTCTCTGCGTTTTATTAACTCCCTCAACCTCCATGACGAACTGAGAACGGTGTTAGAACAAATGAACGTCACAGAGCGTTACACCCCATGTTACGTCGACACAGGCGTCGGAACGTTTATTTCTTCGCGTAATCGTCAGAATGACATTTCGTTTTTTTTTTGGGGGGGGGGGTTCCAGAAATCATTGTCTGTACCCTCTTAGTCCTCGCCATGACGTCGGAAAATTTTTCCCTTTTCAAATAATTCAGTAGTTACGATCAGGCGAAGTATTAGGGTGTGAAGTCCGAGATTTTAGGTGGATTGGCAAGATACTCCACGCACCCTTACTGAAAAGAGGGGGGCAACTTTATTAAGGCCGATGAAAAACCTTGGGGTTGCAGACATGTTCCTAAATAACAAGTTATAATGCCAAATTCTACACACAAATAACAGTACAGTTGGTTCAAACTTAATATTAACATGACACAAATGAAATATGATGGGCGGGGAATGTAGATGGGAGGATAACGTCATCACGGACCTTGGGGATTGGAGGATGTAGACTGGTTTGATCTGACTCATGATATGGACCGGTATTACGGTTGGAAGAACTGATTTTATTAATAGATTCTATTATAATAATAAACGGGGTTGTCTGTGGTTACTCCTAAAAGCTTAAACTGGGATAATGCACTCGTAAGGTGACTTTAAAAATAAAACTGCATTGTCTTGGTCTACGCGAAAGACCACTCGCTGTGGAAAGTTGGCGACACCTGCTAAAACAAAATGTCCGCCACGTGCGATATTCAAATGTTATAATTAACAGTTGACACGCGCAACTGCGACGTTTTCACAGGTTAACTATAACCTACGACAATGTCAGCTCGCAGCGAAGAGATAAGAGAAAATATATTTTCACTTGACACGAAACAGTTGAAGAAATAAACGCAAGCGACCGAACTTTCTTTTCCGTCATTGCCTTTGGTTTCTTCCGTTAAATCCGTGAGGTTCTCTGCGTTTTATTAACTCCCTCAACCTCCATGACGAACTGAGAACGGTGTTAGAACAAATGAACGTCACAGAGCGTTACACCCCATGTTACGTCGACACAGGCGTCGGAACGTTTATTTCTTCGCGTAATCGTCAGAATGACATTTCGTTTTTTTTTTGGGGGGGGGGGTTCCAGAAATCATTGTCTGTACCCTCTTAGTCCTCGCCATGACGTCGGAAAATTTTTCCCTTTTCAAATAATTCAGTAGTTACGATCAGGCGAAGTATTAGGGTGTGAGGTCCGAGATTTTAGGTGGATTGGTAAGATACTCCACGCACCCTTACTGAAAAGAGGGGGGCAACTTTATTAAGGCCGATGAAAAACCTTGGGGTTGCAGACATGTTCCTAAATAACAAGTTATAATGCCAAATTCTACACACAAATAACAGTACAGTTGGTTCAAACTTAATATTAACATGACACAAATGAAATATGATGGGCGGGGAATGTAGATGGGAGGATAACGTCATCACGGACCTTGGGGATTGGAGGATGTAGACTGGTTTGATCTGACTCATGATATGGACCGGTATTACGGTTGGAAGAACTGATTTTATTAATAGATTCTATTATAATAATAAACGGGGTTGTCTGTGGTTACTCCTAAAAGCTTAAAACTGTGATAACGCACGCGTAAGGTGACTTTAAAAATAAAACTGCGTTGTCTTGGTCTACGCGAAAAGACCACTCGCTGTGGAAAGTTGCCGACACCTGCTAAAACAAAATGTCCGCCAAGTGCGATATTCAAATGTTATAATTAACAGTTGACACGCGCAACTGCGACGTTTTCACAGGTTAACTATAACCTACGACAATGTCAGCTCGCAGAGAAGAGATAAGAGAAAATATATTTTCACTTGACACGAAACAGTTGAAGAAATAAACGCAAGCGACCGAACTTTCTTTTCCGTCATTGCCTTTGGTTTCTTCC